TTCGAATTCGATTCCAGCTTGGGGTGCATAGTGAGTTTAAGACCATCCTGGACTATACAGCAAGACCCAGTCTCAGAAGAAACAAAACAAAACTAAACAAAAAAACCCAAAAGAAAGTGGCAGGAATGATAGGTTAAGTGTGCTTAGAGTGAAAGGGAGGATTTTGAGGGAGATTAATGGTAATGTGTCTTTTACTGTAATTTAAACTGGCCAAATAGTAACCTTATTTTTTGATCATACCTCATATGATTCCAGTTGTATGAATGAGCAGGAGCACAAATCCATGAAGACTGAGAGGAGGTGAGTGGTTTGTCACTCTGGGAAGAGGAAGAAAATGGGGTGTGGCTGCCAGTGACCCCAGGAGGTCTCAGTGAGTGAAGGGGGCTCTGACCCTAGATCGGGTGATGGTCGTACCAGTTGGCACAAGTATGGAAGTCACCAGATACACTTAAAACAGGTGAATTTTATGCTACATAAACTGCACATCCGTGAAGTTGTTAAAAATAGTGCTTTAGGTCTTAGGTAGAAAAAACTCCTATGGGTGTTGGGGTGTTAGGGCGAGGAAGGGCTTCAAGATGCCAGCACCCAGGGCGAGAGATGGGTAATCCTGAGCCCAAGGTTTGTGGCTTCTCTTCTGAACTAGCATTGGTTGATTTAGGCCAGAAGGAAACCTCTGTTCTTTGACCCATTGGTCTGGATTCTGACATTTGTCTCTGAAATGAACACACAATGCAAACTGGCAAAGCCATGTACAGCAAAGAAGTGAGATGTCAGAGGTGTGCCACTGTGTGCTGGAAGCAGATTCAGGCGGGTATCACTCGACTTTTCATTGCTGAGATAAAACACTTGACAGTTTGAAAAGGATAAAAGGTTTATTTTGGCTTACAGTTTCAGAAGTTTCAGTCCATGGTCATCAGGCTCTAGGGCAGGAAATATCTTGGCAGAAGGGCCTCATGGAGTAAAGCTGCTTCCTTCATGGCCACTAGGAAGCAGAAAGAGCAAGAGAACCAGAGAGGGCTGGGTGTGGTGGTACATACCTGCAATCCCAGCACCTCAGAGGCTGAAGCAGGAGGGTCCCAAGTTTGAGCCCAGCTTGGACAACTTTAGACTTAGGAAGACCCTATCTCAAAATAGGAATTAAAGGGCAAGGGGAGCTGGAGATGTAGCTCAGTGGGAGAGCTCTTGCCTAGCTTGCATAAGGCCCTGGTTTCCATCCCCAGTACCAGGATAAATGAGTGGGTGAATAAATAGGGTTGGGGTTGTAGCTCAGTGTGAAAGTCCCGGCTTCAATCCCCAGTACTGGGGGAGAAGGACAGAGAGGAGGGGCTGGGGACAGGATGTGCCCTTCCAAGGTGCCCCCAGTGACAGCCCGCTCAGCTGGACGTGGTGGTAATCCCAGCAACTGGGAAGGCTGAGGCAGAAGATTCATGAGTGCAAGGTCTACCTGGGCAATTGAGGGAAGACTGTTTCAAAATAAAGCGCTGGAGTATAGCTCAGTGGTCGAGTGCTTACCTAGGGTGTGTGAGATCCTGGGTTTAATTCCCCAGTGCTACAAATAAGAAAGAAAGAAAAGCAAGCAAGCTGGCCAGCTTAGTGGCACAGAGCTTCTCTTCTCGGCAGCCTGTTGCCAGCCGCGCACTGACTTCCGCTGGTTCCAAACTCGTCACCTTGCATTGGGCAGCTGGGGGAGGCAGGAGCTGATGGGTTCTGGTGGGTTCTGAGGGGCCAGGCTGGGGTCCTGTGCCCCACCCCCAGCCAGTGTCCTGGACGGTAATGGGGAGACAAGGCTCGCCAGAGAAGCTGGGGATGCAGACGACAAGAGGAACCGCTCGCTGTTTGGCAGAAATGCTGGAAGCTCCATCTGGCTGCCGGGTCCTTGGCAGAGGCCGGATGTGGGGCTGGCGGAGGGCTGGTAGGGCTGCTGCTTCACAGCACCCCATCCTGGACAAGCAGCTCGTAGCACAGTCCACGTGCAGGTTCAGAGGGAGATAGGGACGGGTCCTCTCCACCTGCCCGAGCCCAAGGACAGTGCTAAGGACGGTGCTGTAATGTGGTGTGCTGCCGTGGGAACAGAGTAGCGTCTCCTCCTAAACAGAATCACTGCATGGCCAAGCAGTTCCCTGACAGGCGTGTGCCTGAAAGAAAGAAAAGGACGGAAAGCAGATCTCGTGCACATCATGCACAGAGCAGCATCATTCACATGAGCCAGAAGGTGGAACAATGCATGTGTCCACTGGATGCATGAGGGAACAAACAATATGTGACGTAGCTTCGTGGTGAAATATGATGCAGCCCTCAAAAGGAAGCAGAATCTGATGCCTGCTGCAGTGTGGATGGGAACTTGAACACATTGTGCTGAGTGATAAATAACCAGTTCCCAGAAGGACACATGCTCTTAAGCCCACTTAGATGACATCCTGAAGGGAGTTTCTCAGAGTCAGAGAACAGACTGTGGTTGTCCGGTTTGGGGGGAAGGAGCAGAGAGACTGTTGGATGGGTTCATCATGTCAGAGAGCGTGATGGGAAGTCCTGGAGATGGGTGGGATGAGGGTTTGCAGCAGTTGAATGTGCTTAACGCCACTCATTGTACACTCACAGCAGTAAAGATGGTCAGCTCTATGTCATGTTTGTTTTATCACAAAACAGCTGGGCGTGGTGGCACTCAGGAGGCTGAGGCAGATGGACCTCTGTGAGTTCGAGGCCAGCCTGGGCTACATAGTGAGTTCAAGGTCAGCCTGAACTACACAGAGAGACCCTGTTGCGCCCCCCCCCCGGACACACACACACACAAAAAGGCACTGGGCATGGTGGTGCACACCTATGATCCCAACTACTCTGGAGGCTGAGGCAGGAGGATCACAAGTTTGAGCCTAGCGTGGGGAGCTTAGCACTTAGTGAGCTGCTGTCTCAGAATGGTGAGGTGGCAGCGGTGAGGGTGATGGTGGTGTGGAGACTCCAAGTTCAATTCCCAGAGCCACCAACATAGACAAAACACAAAGCAACAACAAAAAGAGAGTCAGGCACCTGGAGAAAGGTAAGGCTCCACCAGACGAACCAGAAAGTTCACACTTCCTGCAGCGTGTGAAGCTGGCCTGGGTATAGGTGAGGGAACCCCAGGGACAGACTGTCACATGGAGGTCCTTGTTTCTGACCTCCCACCGTGTGCCCCCTTTATGGCCGCCAAGTTCGGAGTGGGGAGCTGAGGCTGGGAGGCCGGGGTGGGGTCTCTCTCAGCACATCTCTGGTCAGCAGCACAGTGAGGGACCTGCAGGAAGCACAAGGACCCAGTAGCAGAGGACACACTCCTGGCACGGCTCACACCTTACGGCTGAGCAGAAAACATCACAGTAGAACCTGCTGAAAATGCCCGGGAAAAGTTAAATGTTGGTGGCACCGAGTGTAGGTGTGGGGTAGCACGCCCGTGTACTGTGGTTGGGGGTGCACTGGGCACAGCGCTGATGGGCCAGTGCGCTGTGACTTACAGAACTCAGGACAAGCCGCATTCTTTGAGCCAGGCCTTCCCCGCTTCCCTCGCTGGGAGAGGAGCTGGCATGGCATCCGGAGGCAGAGCAGGGCACTGCACAGGGTCCCATTGCTGATCAGTCTGGAAGCGGGGTTGCTTAAATCACCTGGGATTTTTGTAGCTTGACGCACTTTCCAGGAGTAAGAAAGGTGAAGTAGTAGGGCAGAAGCCCCGGTGCTCTGACAGTGGGATTCCCGAGTGAAAGGCTTCTTCATTTCTCAGGCGACAGAGGGGATGGCTAGCAAGAGTGAGGGGGCAGCCAGCTGTTGCTGGGCATAACAGCACTGACTATCAGATCAGGAACTCTGTGGGTCAGGGATTTACACAGAGCTTGGTGGGGAGGTGAGGCTGTGCTTTATGGAGTTCGGAGTCTCAGATGGAGACTTGAATGGCTGGGGTAACTCATGAGACTGAGGCTGCAGTCATCTGGATCTCTCTCTCTTTCTCCCCCCTGAGGTACATCTCTAACCCTTGTTTGTTTATTTTTTATTTTTTTAAATTTGAGACATGATCTCACTGAGTCACTAAGTTGCCCAGCCTGGGTTTGAACTTGAGATCTTCCTGCCTCAGCCTCTCAGACTGCTGGGATTCTAGGTGTGCATCACTGTGCCTAGTTTGGAGATTTTTTATTTTATTATTTTATTATTTATTTATTTATTTTTGGTACCGGGGATGGAACTCGGGACCTTGTGCTTTCGAGGCAGGCACCAGAACCACTGAGCTAAATCCCCGGCCCCTGGTTGAACTTTTTGCTCCCAAGAGTTAATATACCAGCACATAAGATGGAAGCTATATGGCCTTTTGTGACTTCTCAGAAGTTGTGTGGTAGTGGGTGTGGTAGCACACACCTATAATCCCAGCACTCAGGAGGTTGAGGCCGGAGGATTGCTGTGAGAGCCTCTTTCAGAAAAAAAACCAAAAAACAAAGCTGTATGGAGTCACTTTGCCATATCCTGCTGGTCAAATTTGTCAAAAGCCTACTTAGATTTAAGGGGAAGAAACAGAGACTGTCACTTGAGGTCCCCTTAGGGACCCAATGTGGTTTGGTTGGGGAGGCAACAGTGGACTCTGCCATTTGCATCATGGGGCTTTCAACTCTGTTTTAAGGATAAATGGACCCACTGTTGCTGTATCCCAGACTGGGAAGGGGAGTGCAGGGAAAGCATTTGCATATGGCTGGCTGTGGCTCAATGCTTGCACCCATTGGTGTGCTGGGTTCTCTTTAGCTAACTCTTGGCTCTCCTGTTACACCTGGCTGCAAGGGAGCCTGGGAAATGTAGTCTGTAGCTGGAAGGGATGCTGGGAAATGTAGTCCTTATCTTGGCAGCCATATACCCAGCCACAATTTGGAGGGGTTCTGTTACTGAAAGAAAACAAAAGAGGCTCCGTATTAGGAGAATTACCTTTTTTTTTGTTTTTGGTACCAGGGGTCAAACTCAGGACCTTGTGCTTGAGAGGCAGGTGGCGGCACCATTGAGCTAAATCCCTGGTCCTAGGACAATTACTTTTTGCAAAAGTATGTATTTTTTGTATACATGCATATATTCCTATATGTTTATAGAAATAGGTCTGTATAGCACCTTGAGACCATAATGTTAAGTGAAATAAATCAGACACGCAAGCTTACATATTGCATAACTTCTCTTATTTGAGAAACTCAGAGTATAAATAATTACAAATAGCAAAAGATAAACAGTAGGAGACAGGGAGATAGATCTTCTGCAAATTGGAAAGCAATCCAGAAATGGTGGGATGGGGGAGCAGAGAGGAGGGGAAGGAGAACAAAAGGAATTAAGATGTGTTGAGTACACGTACCTACTCCTTAAGATGAATGTAAACATTATGCACTACAAACAATACTAATTAAAAAGTTAAATTAAATTCTGAAGACTCACACCAAACTAATTGCTGAAATATGAATGAGTTGGATAAAAGGGGGATGTTACATTATCTGTGTCTTAATCATGAAGAATGTATTCAGGTGTAATTTGTGCACATTCTGATTTATAGTAAGAATGGAAACTGTGAAGAACCAATGCTCCACGTTATGAGTTCTCCTTAACGAAGATGCAGCAGCAGCAACACAGGGTGCCACACCTAGATGGATGCCAGGAACCTGGGGCTGGTGTGCTCTGAACAGTGGGTTTCAATAAGTGTTCGTTGAATAAAAAAAAAAAAAAAGAAAGAAAGAAAAGAAAAGAAAAGAAAAAAAAGGATCTGAATAGAACTTAGATGTACGTGGAGGGAGGGGGAGGGAGGGGGAGGTCGCTCAAGATGACTAAGTCCTGCCTCACTGCTCAGCAGGTGACTGCCGCTGTGACTACTGTATTACACAGTCAACGGTTTGCTAAGAGGGTGGATATTATGTTATGTGTTCTTATTACACAGAAGTAAATAGCAATAAAGGAAGCAGGAGGAAACACTTGGAGGTGGTGGGTGGGTTTATTGGTGATGGTGGGAAGGGTTATACTTATCCCCAAACTTACCACATTATATACATTAAATGTGTAGGGCTCACAGCTTGTTGTATGTCAGTCATTCCTCAATAAAAGTACGTTTGTGTGTGTGTGTGTGTGTGTGTGTGTGTGCGCGCACGCGCGCGCATGAGAGCATGTGGGCCCGGGCCTTGCACATGCTAAGCATAAAATGTTTTTATTTTTAAAGAAACACACTGCTAGGTGTGGTGGTGCACACTTATAATCCCAGCACCTGAGGCTGAGGCAGGAGCATCACTGTGAGCTGGAGGCTAGCTTGGGCTGTGTGATGTGACCCTGTCTCAAAAACAAACAAACAAACAAAGAACCAAGCAAAACCCACCCCCACACACAGATTTATGGAGTACAGCCTGGAAGAAAATGTAGAAAAAGGACTGGAAGGAAAAATTGGTAGCAAAGTTTGGTTCTAGGGAAGAGGGAGAAGATGGGTTCCCAGTATATTCAAAGCGGATGTTAGCCGTGGCTGTAATGTTTGAATTTTTTTGTGTGTTTGAATTTTTGTTGTTGTTGTTGTTTTGGTACCCGGGATCAAATTTAGGTCCTTGTGCTTTCAGGGCAGGCTGTGGAACCACTGAGCTCAATCCCTGGGCCAGTGTGTGTTTGAATTTTTAACAAGGACACTGTCTTCATGTTTTACTTGTGACATTAAATATTCATCTCCCTGGAAGAGGACTCGGTGTGCATCTGGCAGCTGGTTCTGCAGCCCTTCTTGTCACTCCGTGGTAGAACCTAACACTGAAGTGGGGAGGTTGTGCTGCCCTATATCACCCAAGACTCTTATCCCAAGACCCCACCGTCCTGAAGATGTTCTCTTCCCGGTCCTCCCCCTGTGGACCTGGAGGCTTTCCTTTGTTATCAGCAGATAGTTTTTATTTTTATTTTTTGGGGGGGTTGAGACAGGGTCTTGCTGTGCAGTTCAGTCTGGCCTTGAACTCACTATGTAGCTCAGGCTGGCCTCTTCCTGCCTCAGGCTCCTGAGAGCTGGGATTACAGGTGTGTGCCACCAAACCGAGTTTTATTTTTTGAGACAGGGTCTTACTAAATTGTTTAGGCTGGCCTTGAACTTATAATCCTCCTGCTTCAGCCTCCCAAGTGGCTGGGATTACAGGCATGCTCTGATGTGCCTGGCTCACAACAGATGTTTATGTCAGTACAAGGCTGTCAGCACTGAAGAATTCAGAAGTGATTTAATACAGTTCCCCGTCACACAGCTAACTGAGCATTTTATGTACTTATTTATTTTCGGTGCTGGGGATTGAACCCAGGACCTTGAGAATGGTAGGCAAATGCTCTACCACTGAACTATACCCTCAGCCCTGGGTAAAAGTAGGAAGTTGGTCACTGTGGGGCGTGGTGATCCGGCAGTCAGGAGCATCTATGGAGGACTCGCCTTGATCCTCCTGGTTCAGCCTCCCAAGTGCTGGGGTTTCAGCTGTGCACCACCACACCTGTCTGAGCCCCTGTTTCAGCGGTCAGTGTCCAATCCTAGCATCACAAAAACAAGCAACAGTCCGTGAAAGAGTCCAAGGCACAGCTCTGTGTTAAGGGAGACTAGAGATATTAGCTGTACTATAAGGGACAAAACCGAATGGGACCCAGGGCCTGGAGGCAAAGTGCCATAAAAGAGACAGCAAAGTGTGAGTTGGGATGGTACCCGAGGTACTCGCATTGCAAGTTTCAGTTCTGTGTATTTGACAGTTGGATCTGGACATGAAAGAGATACGCTGTTCCCAGGACAGACACAGTTCTTGGAGGATGGGCAACGTTTTTCGGTAAAAGGCCAAATAGTGGAGACTTTAAGCTTTGGGGCCTTATGGTCTCTGTCCCAACCAGTCTCCTGCTGCTGCAGGGCCCAGGCAGCCACAGAGTCTGTGTAAAGAGTGGGCATGGCCGTGCCAGTAACACTAGGGATGGAGGCTTCGACTCCAAGTACACGTCATTTTCACACAATACGTAATAGTTGTCTGATTTTTTTCAACCCGGTAAAACCCATTTCCATCTTACTGTCCAAGCAAAATTAGATAGCTAGCTTTGGCCAGGGGGCCGTGGTTTATTGTTGCCCGATCTAGGAAAAGACCCAGACACACTCTGGAGATAAGCAAATATAGCATGAGGCAAACAGTAGGTGAATCTGGGGGAAGAGTATAGAGGGATTCTTTGTATTGTTCCTATAATTCTGCAGGATTGAATTTTTTTTTTTTTTTTTTTTTTTGTACCAGGGATCGAACTCAGGTCTTTGCACTTGTGCAGCAGGTGGTGAAACCACTGAGCTAAATCTCTGGCCCAGGATTGAAATTATTTTAAAATTGTGAGGTATGGAGGCACACGCCTGTAGTCCTAGCACTCTGGGAGGCTGAGGCAGGAGGATTGAAAGTTTAAGCCCAGCTGGGCATGGTGGCCCATGCCTGTAATCCCAACACTTGGGAGGCAGAGGCAGGAGGATGCCACAGTTCAAGGCCAACCTGGGCTACAAAGTGAGTTCAAGCCCAGCCTGGGTGACTTAGCAACTTAGCTGGGAATGTGGTTCATTGTGAAGGCCCTGGGTTCACTCTTCAGTACTGAAAAAATTTTAAAAATCATAATAAAAGTAGAGCATGTTTCCTCCACGGATGTGTCAGGAAGGGGAGAGGGAGGCTGTGATTCTTTGCATTTTCCAATTGAATGGATAGTGACTCCCTCACCTGTTTTTGGCTGTTGCTCCTTATTATCTGCCCATTTTGTTATCTTCATTTCTTTTTGATTTCTTCCTCTGGTTTAATTAACTTTTTGTTTTGTTTTGAGAGACAAGGTCTTGTTAAATTGCTAAGTTTCCTAGGCTGGCCTTGAACTTGTGATCCTCCTGCTTCAGCCTCCTGTGCAATACCACACCCAGCTGGTTTAACTTTCTTATCTAGGGACCCTGCTCACCAGGCGTGAGAGTTTAGGCTCTGTCCTCACTGTCTGACCTCCCCTTTCCTCTCCCTCTGGTAAATACACTTCTCTACCAGCTAAGGAATCAGCCATTTTACCGATGTCCCCTGGCCCAGTGATTTTAATTTCATGTTCTTCGTCCTCTCACTTCTAGAGGTGTTATTTATTGGCAGGTGTGCTGTGCAGCAGTTCAAGAATGGAGTGTTTGAGCCGGGGATTTAGCTCATTGGTTTTGCCGCCTGTTGTGCACATGCGCAAGGACCTGAGTTCAATCCCCGGTACCAAAAAAAAAAAAAAAAAGAATGGAGTGTTTCCTACTATCTAGAATCTATAAAAAATCCCCCCAAAATCAGGCCTCTCCAAATATAAAGACCCAGTTCAAAAATGGGCATCTGAAATGAACAGACATTTCTCAGACAAAGAAGTAAAAGCAGCAAATAAACATGAAAAAATGTTCAACATCACTGGTCATTCGAGAGATGCAGATGGAAACAACACTGAAATTCTACCTCAACCCAGAAAGGATGGCTGCTATCATGAAATCAACCAACAACAAATGCTGGCGGGGGTGTGGGGAGAAAGGAACCCTTCTCCATTGTTGATGGGAGTGCAGACTGGTACAACCACTGTGGAAATCAGTATGGAGATACCTCAAAAAACTAGGACTAGAGGTCCTATTTGACCCAGCTATTCCTCTGCTGGGTATCTTTCCAAAAGAATTAAAAGAATCAGCTGGGGATTTAGCTCAGTGGTTCCAGCGCCTGCCTCGCAAGTGCAAGGTCCCGAGTTTGATCCCCAGTACCAACAAAAACAAATTAATTCTAAAAGAATCATACCACAGTGGTATATGCACACCCATGTTTATAGCAGCACAGTTTGTAATAGCTAAAGCTTGGAAACAGCCCAATTGGCTATCAGCTGGAGACTGGATAAAGATTTTTTTAAAAAATAAAATGGAGTACTACTCAGCCATAAAGAAAGAAACTAGAGACATTTATAGCTAAATGGATGCACACTGAGGTGATACTCTTCAGTGAAATAAATAGGACACGTGTAAATATGGGAATGGTTTCTCTGGTGTGAAGAACTAAAAGTGTAAATAAGGTTCAAAATGTGTAATTGATAATGTGAAATAGGAAGAAAAGGTTTAAAGGAGTAGGGGAAGTGGGAAGGGTAGGGGAAAGGAAAAAAGGGAAAAGAAAAAATATGAGAAAAGGAAAAAATGGAAACAAAGTCTTTGTAAATGGGGAAGGGTGGAAGGGGTGAAGGGAGGGCAGAGGAATGGGGAAAAAATAAGAACCAAGATGCATCATCTCAATGATGAATGTAACTGCATTGTATACCTAAAATGTACCAATAAACTTAATAATAATAATAATAAAATGAAGTGTTTCATTCTCCCATCATTGGGACAAAATGTCTTCTTGTGGCTCTGAATGGTTATTTCCAAGAATGGGATATTGAGTTTATTGAGTAATTGTGTCTGGGATAGGGAGGGTGGCCCTAAGAGAAGAGAGGGAACTATGTGCTTTTCCTACAACTCTCTTCTTCCTGGATTGGAAACTCAACTCAAAGTGAACAGAAAGTGAAAAGGAACATATCAATGTCTATAACCTAGAGCACTGGCCAGCCTGCCATTCAGACTCACCAAGAGTAAGCTGAAATCCATCTTGCTATAATAAGATACCTGGGACTGGGTACTTGGTAAGAAATAGAGGTGTATTTTGGCTTATGGTTTTGGAGGGTGAAGAGTCCAAGCTCAGCGCATATCTGGCAGGGGCCTCAGACCGTGTCCCATGGTGGAAGTCTGTGGGTGTCAATGGGTGCGTGCGCAAGAGCTCATCAGTTCAAGAGAGAGACTTGAGGGGAGGTGCCAGGCTTGCTTCTCACAGGTCATTCTCGCGAGTATTAACCCAGTCCCCTGAGTCCCATTGGCAAGAGTCCCTTCCAGAGGTGATGCTCCTGTGGCCATAATTACCTCCTACTTAGTCCCATTTCTTCAAGGTCCCACCCCCCGCTCTGTCCCATTACTTGGGGACCAAGCTTCCAGCATATGAACCTTTGGGAGACAAGCCATATCCAAGCCATAACAGATGCTATAAGATTGCTGTTTCTTACTTTTAATTGTTTTTCTGCCTGGCTTCATCGATAACAAGGCTTCCCCTACTCATAACAGCCCAAGGGGAACTTTTTCAAGATTACCAAACCCAGCAGAAAAGAGCATTTGGGAACCAGGCCTTTCAGCCAGAGTTCCAAAACTGGCTCTCATTGGTCAGCAGGAGCCACGTGTTCAGGTTTGAACCAATCAATTGCCAGGGATCTGGAGGATTCTGATTGGCCAGCCTAAATCATATGCTAACCTGGAAAGGGGGACCTCCAGCTTCACTCAAAACTATCTGGACTAAGAACTGGCAAGAGGTGCACCTTGATGATATATGTAATTGGTTGCTTTTCCCATCAGGTTACCGACTCAGATGGTGGGTCAGGGTGCCTTCCTGAATTCCTGTCCTGATTTTTAAGGCACATCCTTGGAGGTCATACTGTTTCAACTGTCAACCTATGACCTCTGGCGTCCTTTCTCCCTAACCCCTGACCCCTAACCTGCTCGTGTTCTCCCATACCTTTCCTTCAGGAGACACACAGGATCTACAGGCAAAAGCTGGAGGAGCTGACTGCCTTACAGACCTTGTGTAGCGGGTCAATCAACAAGCAGAAGAAGTGCCTCAAGGACTTGCGGCTGGAGCTCCAGAGGTATGTGAGGCTGAAACTTGAAGGAGCTCAAGAAGTACTGAGCAATATCATCAGCCTATTTTTTATTTTTATTTTTCCTGTGTTAGGGATTGAACTCATGGCCACTCTACCACTAAACTGTGCCCCTAGCCCATTTTATTTATTTTGAGATAGTCTTGCTATGTAAGTTGCCCAGGGTGGCCTTGAACTCGTGACTGTCCTGCCTCAGCCTCCTTAGTAGCTAGGATTATAGTCATACTGGCCATACTGGCACCTTTTTTGTTTTGGTTTGGTTTTTGAGTCAGGGTCTCGCTATGTAGTTCAGGTTGGCCTTGAATGTGCTAAGTAGCACAGGCTGGCCTTGAACTGGTGGAAATCCTGCTTCAGCCTCCTGAGTGCTGAGATTACAGGCCGCCTAAGGCTCCATTTTTTTGGTACTGGGGATCAAACTTGGGACCTTATGCTTGTGTGGCAGGCAGGCAGAATCACTGAGCTAAATCCCCACCCCTAAGGGTCCTTTGGTTTTAAGGGACCAGAACCCAACTCAAAACTGGCTTAATCAAAGAATGGAAATTTTAATGGAAAAAAACAGGAATAACTTTAGGCATCACTGGATCCAGGAGTCAAAGGCTGTTTGTAGAAATTGGATTTTTTCCTCTCATTTCTGCTTTCCTCTAGTTTGGCTTCATTTCAGGCTGACTCTTCCTGGTCACTGAGATGGGCTCATCCAGTGCCAAGCTCTGTCCACTAGCTTCCAAGTGGCATGGCTACCCAAATATAAGGCAAACTGCTTGTTTCTCTGTCTAGACTTTCACATGCTTCTGTATCCTCTAAAATTCAGGCTCTTCCTTTAAAATAGGTTTTTTTGGTTTGTTTTTTGAGTTAGGGTCTCACGGTAGTTCAGGCTGGATTTGAACTCACTATGTAGCCTAGTCCGGCCTTGAACAGTGATCCTCCTGCCTCAGCCTCCCGAGTGCTGGGATTACAGGCTCTTCCTTTAGCGTAGTGAGGAAAAACAGGGGCTTTGCCAGCCAATACCCACTGAGCTCCTGCTGTGTGCCAGGTATTATTCCTGATGCTTCTTGCTGTGTTTACTCAGGTCTTCCTCATGGGCTGTCCTCTGGCAGGTGGGCCTGATGGTAACCCTAGAAAACACGGAAGAGAGATCCAAGGACTTTGCCAAGATCACAAGGCTCCAGGGAGCCAGGCACATGCAGAGGGTACAGAACAGAAGCTGCAACTGGGCATGGTGGTGCAGACCTGTAATTCCAGCACTCTGGGAGGATGAGGCAGGAGGATCTGAAGTTTGAGCCCAGCCTGGCCAATTTAGTGAGACCATATCTCAAAATTAAAAAAAAAATTTTTTTTTTAAAGGGCTGGGGTTATAGCCCAGTGTGACATCCCTGGGTGCAATCCGCAGCCCACATAGAAACAAAAACAAACAGAACTAAGGTGTGGGCTGGGTTGGGCAAGCTGAGGGTGAGGAGCTGGCAGTCCAGACCCTTCCTCTATCTGAGGGACACTGCTCCCTTGCCTCCCCCCAACCATAGGTACAAGCACCATGCAGGTCGGGAGGAGGTGGAGCTGGTCCAGCAGATTGGCGCACACATCAAGGAGCGGCAGAATGTCTTCTTTGACATGGAGGCCTATCTGCCCAAGAAGAACGGGTAGGAACGAGAGCCCTGGGGCCTGAGGTTGACAGGCGGTGAGGGGAGTGGAGATGGAGAGGAGGAGGATACTCCCCCACAGGTTCTTCCAGTCCAGGAGGCGTCCTCAGCCTTCGGGTGGCTGTGCCCGCCTGAGAGGACTCTTCCCAGGAGCCAGCCCCTGTGTACCACATGTGCCACCTGGGGTCCAAAGGAAGGTGTTCTCTCCCAAGAGAACCGAGCTGTGTCGAGTGCCTGTTGTGCAGCCCCCAGCACTGTGCTGGGAGCTCCCATGACGCTGGTCACTTATCCTTAGCCACAAATTTTCACAAGGTTCGGAGACATGAGTGAGCTTCTGGCCTGGGGGCTCAGCCCAAGCTTGGCCGGGTCAAACTCTGTGAGTTCGGTGGCAATCGTTTTCTATTCTTTTACAGCATCACATAGACCCTCCTGCTTCTCTTGCTGGTTCTTTGTGCATTTTACAACAGTCAGTAATCTTTATATTACAAATGATACAAAATCGAACTCAAGTTGTAAAAGAAAAAAAATGGAGGATTCACTGTCTCCTGTAACTAAAACGTCCAGATATAGCTTCAGTGTTGGCTGGATCTTGCTGCTCAAATGATACTGTTAGGAACTCTCATATAGCTTTATTTTCTAATGTATACATTTCATTCTTAGACTTTACAAACTTTATAAACTGCCCCCCTTCCAGTTCTACCTGCTTAGTAATTCTAGGAAGCAATTATGGGAAAAGTCCCAGGACTGATTCTCTGTGGCCTATATTGTGTCACGTGACCATTCATAGAGCAGTCAGGTGGATGTACTCCTTTGATTGGCTGAGCTATGGTCATGTGCCCTCCCTTAGGGAAATGGGATGGGGGTCACATGATCATTCTTAAACCAATCAGAAGGATGCCCTGCTTTGATTGGCTGAGCCATGGTCATGTGCCTACTACTTCTGTGGCTTGGTTGAGAGGTGTGATTCTCTGAAGAGTCCTGTGCTGCCCCTGTAGGAAATGCGGCTTGGTTTCTTCTCTATACCTCTGCTCCAGTTCTAGCAGATTGGAAATGCTCTGAAAATCCACTCATAGCTAGAAAAAAAAAAAAGAGCCCTTCCATTCTCTTCTCCCTTCACACTTTTACTTATTCTTCCAAAGCCAATTCAAATGTCACCAGCTCAGCAAAGTCTTTCTAAACCTCTGACCCTCTGGAGTTTATCCTTCCTCCCTGAAGTGCTGCAGCCCTTTGTTTGAACCTTTGTTAGTACAAGCCTCTTTCCATGAATAATTCTTGCCATTTCCTGTCCAAGCTAGACACACACATACACAAGGACCCAGAAATTCCGCTCCTGGGTAATTACTGGTGAAATAAGTCTTACGTCCTCCAAGAGACAAGTATGAGATTACTCACAGCAAACTGGCCAGACACCGGAGGCCAGCATTGTATGATTGTGTTCATATGAAATGTCCAGAACAGGCACATCCCTGGGGACAGAGAGTAGGTGCAGGGTTGCGGGGTGCTGGGGGAGGGAGACTGTTATTGGGGGTGGAGTTCTTTTTGAATGATGCAAATGTTCTGAAATTAGGTAATGGTGATGGTTGTACAACATTGTAAATATATTAGAAACCATTAGATTGTGTAAGGCTAAATTTTATGGCATGTGAATTATACCTCAATATTTTTTTCAGAAAGTATGTTCACAGCCAAAAACTGAAAACACATGGATAAGTCTGGAGGACCTTATGCCCAGTGAAATAAGCCAGATACAGAATGAAACATACGCATGATCTTATTTATACGTAGAATCCAAAAAGGGTGAAAATTGAATGCACAACAAAGGAGAGCAAAGAGTTGTCACCAGTGGGAAGGGACTGGGGTAGATGAGGAGATGTTTCAAGTTTTGTAGGATGACAAAGTCTAGAAATTGGGCTGGGGATTTAGCTCAGTGGTTCCGGCGCTTGCCTCAAAACCGCAAGGTCCCGAGTTTGATCCCCGGTACCAAAACAAACAAACAAAAAAGTCTAGAAATCCAGTGTACAGCACAAAGACTATGGTTAGGAATGTACTCTTGCATATTGAAAACTTGCCAAAAGTAGATTTTGTTTTGTACTGGATATTGACTCTAGAGCCTTTGCACTGAGCTATATTCCCAGCCCTTTTTAAAATTTATTTTTATTTATTTATTTATTTTTGCCCTTTTTAAAATTTAAAAGTTTTTGTTTTTGTTTCTTGTTTGCAGCAGGGTCTCACTATGTAGTCTGTCTGGCTCATGCACCCCATGTCTGGCTCATGAAAATATTCTCAGCATGCACCTACAAAGATAAAAAAATCCAACTAAAACACAAAGACTGAGAACATGCCAAATACTCAAGAGCAGGAGAACTAAATCAGTGGTAGCCATTCCACTCAGTGGAATGCCGTTCTCCACAACAAAGAAGGAGGCAGGGGAAATGTGTGTGACACGGGTTATGCTCCCAGTGTACCCCTGAAGGAGAGCTGCCAGGCATGAAAGATTCCACAGAAGTTCAGAAACAGGCAAAACAAGCCAGGTGTCATGGCACATGCATGGAATCCCAGCACTTGGGAGGCTGAGTCAGGAGCATCATCATGAGTTTGAGGCCAGTCTGGGCTCCACAGTGAGTTCAAGGCCAGCCTGAACTGCCTAGGGAGACCCTGTCTCAAGAAAAGATAAGTAAAAAAATCACGATGCTAACACTGAAGATGTGCACTTGTGAAGATTATGCCTAATTTTTTTTTTGTAGCAAAGTTATATTTATTTAAGATAGGAAAAGAAACAGATCCTATGGAGTAAATTTGGGCCAAGTAAAAGTAGGAAAGTACACCCTACAGCACGAGGGTGAACCACCACGCAAAAGAACACAGAGGCCAAGCCTTACTTTTATTTATGTATTTATTTTAGGTTCTTTTAGAGACAGGGTCTCACTATGTAGTTTAAGCTGGCCTTGAATTCACTATGTAGCCCAGGCTGGCCTCAAACTCATGGCGATCCTCCTGCCTCAGCCTTCCAACAGCTGGGATTATAGGCACACACCACCATGCCCAATTTATGCCTTAATTTTATTTTATCTTATTTATTTATTTTTAATATCAGGAATCAAACTCAGGGCCTCACGCTTGCCAGACAGGCACTGTGCCACTGAGCTACATCCCCAGCCCTGTTCCTTAATTTTAAAGAGCATCCTTTTTAAATTGACCTAGAGATTACACCTGTGCCTTTGCCTCCGTGGCTGGAATTTAGTCACATGCCACATCTGGGTTTCAGAGGAGGCTGGGCATCAGGGGCTGTGAGTCAGCTTCCATGGAGAAGTGGGCTCATGACACCATTGTGCATGCTGTTGCCAGTTTCTCTAGTTAATCATTGTTGTCCCTTGATGGTTGACTGCCTGGTTGACCGCTTGTTTAGTGTCCTGTTTTCTGATGTTGGTACTTGTCACTCTTAGTGTGTGTACGTTCGGCTGGGTGCGCTCCCGGGGCTGAGTGGCGTGGCCCTCACAGCTCTGTCTTTCCAGGCTCTACTTGAACCTGGTCCTCGGCAATGTGAATGTGACCCTGCTCAGCAAGCAGGCCAAGTATGTACCCCTCTCTCCCCAGGGGCCTGGGTGCACCTGCCCCTCAGAGAAGACGGAACCAAGCTAGGGTTTGTGCAGAAATCAGAACACGTTAGCACGTGGGGCCCTGGGTTTTGGTCTTTCTAGCCCTGTCCTCAGTGAGTAGAGCACTGGGGGAACCTTCCTTCCTTCCTTTTTTCTGTTGTGGTGCTGGGGATTGAACTCAGGGCCTCGTGCATGCTGGGGAAGTGCTCCACAGCTGAGCTGCACCACCACCCCTCCTTCTGTCCTCCCCTGGTCACTCTACGGTGGCCAGAACTCCCTGTCTCCACGTATGCTCTGTTCCATGCATGTCACAGCGTTTCTTACAGGAAGTGGGGCTTCCTGTCCACCCATGTAAGTCCACGTCTGGGTGATCGTGACCCCTGGTGTTTGTTTTTGCTTGTGGGAACGGGGTCCAGAGGGTCCAGAGTCCTGCCCCAGAATTTAGGGACGGGGACCTTTTGTAATTGATCCTCTTTCCCTCTTGGTTGTCACTAATTCAAGGCCAGGTCTCTTAGTAGGATGGCAGGTCCTTTCGGGTAGGGGAGGAGCGCTAGGCCTGGGGTGGACAGGGCTGGGATCCTGCCCCCGGGCCGGGGAACAGAGTAGCCAGAGTAGTGTGACTTACCTGGGGGCGTCTGTCATGGCAGGTTTGCCTACAAGGACGAGTATGAGAAGTTCAAGCTCTACCTGACCATAATCCTGCTCCTGGGGGCCGTGGCCTGTCGCTTTGTCCTTCACTACAGGTAGGGGCTGTGTGGGGCACAAAGAGGAGGCCAGGGGGCTCCGAAGGGTCACCGGTCTCCTGTGCTCCCTTAGCCTTGGTGTGGTAGGCGCGGTTCCCCGGGGGAGTGGCGGTCCTATCTCCCTGCGTGAGTCAGCCAGTGTCTGAGTAGCTGCTGGGAGGGCCTTAAAACATGGGAGCTGGGAAGGAGACCCCTGTGCAGTGGAGCATTATCCTGCCACAAGACAGAACACAGCACTGACCCATGCTACAGCAAGATGACAGGAACCAGCTTGCTGAGGGCGGGAAGCTGGGTGTAAAAGGCCACATGTATAATTCCACACGTATAATGTGAAATTTCAGAACAGGAAAATCCATGGAGACAGAGTAGCTCAGCATGGAAAGACTGTATGCTACAGTTTCTTTTATTTTTCATTTTTTTTGAGCCAGGGTATCACTATATAGTTCATGCTGGGCTTGAAATCATTATATAATCCAGGCTGACCTTGAACTCACAGTGGTCCTCCTGCCTCAGTCTCCTGAGTGCCTCCATGCCCAGCTCAGAATTTCTTTAGAATGATGAAAATGTTCTGGAATTAGGTAATGGTATTTACACCATTCTGTTAACACAACACAATCCATCTGTACACATTAAAAGAGTGAGTTTTGGGCCGGGGACTTAGCTCAGTGGTTTTGCCGCCTGCTGCGCAAGCACAGGGACCTGAGTTCGATCCCTGGTACCAAAAAAAAGAAAGTGAGTTTTAGCTGAGCATTGTGGTACATATCTGTAATCTCAGCAATCTGGGAGGCCAGGGCAGGAGAATCACAAGTTTGAGCCCAGCCTAGGGAATTTAGGGGCTGGGTATCTAGCTCAGTGGCCTGCCTCACAAGCGCGAGGTCCTGAGTTTGATCCCTGGTACCAAAAGAAAAAGAAAAGAGCCAGAGCGAGGCTGCCTGGCTGTAAACCCTGACCCTTTTTTTTTTTGGTACCGGGGATCGAACTCGGGTCCTTGTGCTTGCATAGCAGGTGGCCAAACCACTGAGCTAAATCCCCGGCCCAACCCTGACCTTGAGACAGGCTGCTCTCAGTCTCCCCATACGTGAGCTGGGGTGATGGTGCAGTGCGGTCACACTGTGTCCTCGTGGGGCCAGGAGCCTGTGTTTTCTGCCCACCGGCGGCTGCCGCATCCAGCTCAGGCGTGTGGCCCGCGTGTCTGAGTGCTTGGCTGAGAGGCCCACCGAAGACCAGGGGCCTGCGCCCACCAGCTGCCTGGGCCTGGCCCGCTTCCCCAGCACAGGCTGCTCATGCACCTCCGGAGAGGCGTGGGAGTTCTGGGTGTGCAGCCATGGCCCGACCTGCGCCATGCCGTGACAGTGCTCGGCATCATGCAGCCTCTCCCCCTTGCCTCCTGCCGTGGTGCCCTTGGGGGCCCTAACAAAGTCACAGGTTATTAGGGGCTTAAGACAACAGGAGTATATTCTCTCAGTTCTGGAGGCCAGAAGTCAGAAATCAAGGTACTAGCAAGCCTTGCATGGTGGGAAGCGCTTGTAATCCCAGAACTCCGGGAGGCTGAGGCAGGAGGGTCTCAAGTTCGAGCTTAGCCTGGGCAACTTAGGGAATTAGTGGCATCCCTGGCACCTGGACTCCTGGCCAAGTCCCACGGCCTCTGATTTTCTCAGTGATAGGCTTCTGAGCCAGTGTGGGGCTTCTGGAGTTAGAACAGGAACACTAGCAGCCTCACTTGGCAGGTGCCATTGCTCGGAGAGTAACTCACCTATCTGTGGTCCCACAGCTGGGAACAGGCTGCCCATTCCCTGGCTCAGAATTTGAACACAGGCCCTAGGATTCCCGAACATGCTCTGGAGTCTCCCAGGACCGGCATCTGTCCATGGGCCGAGAGCGACTGCCCCCAACCACCCCAAGACAGAGTCACTAGCTCCAGAGGGATCTCCCAGCATCTTCCATGGTTGAAATTGTTCCTCTTCCCTTCCCAGCCTGGGCTGTCACAGTGGGGTCCCCATTCAGGAGGAAGGGGGCAGGGACCAGGGCCTTCTCCTGTCCTTTCTGTGCAGCCAGCCCCTACCTGTGCTGTCCCTTCTCCTCCCAGGCTGATGGGCCCAGGTGACACTGGGAGGTATGGGGGACCAGCCTCACTGGGGTCAAGGACAGAGCCTTCATCAGAGCTTATCAAGGGCACCTTGGAGAGAGGGGTGTGTATCACTGTTTTCAGCACTTGTAGGGGGCCAGATCCCCACTTTAAAGACAGTAAGCAGGGCCGGGGACTTAGCTCAGTGGTGCTGCTGCCTGCCTCACAACCGCAAGGTCTTGAGTTCGATCCCTGGTACCCTCCCCCCGCCAAAGACAATAAGCTGAGTCAGGTGGGTCTCTGGACAAGCCCTCCTTTCCCAGCCCATAAGGCTCTAGCTGCCTGTCTTATCCCCCACCCAGTACTGAGGATTGAACCCAGGGGCTTTGCACTAAGCTACATTCCCAACCTTTTAAAAAATATTTTAGGGCTAGGGATTTAGCTCAGTGGCACTGTGCCTGCCTCAAAAGTGCAGGGTCCTGAGTTCGATCCCTGGTACCAGAAAAAAAAAATTCAGTTGTCCAAGTTGGGCTTGAACTTGGATCCTCCTGCTCAGCCCAGCTGTGGGCTGTGGCCACCACAGAGGGGGCACCAGAATTGGTTCTTCTGTTGGCCTCATAGCCTGTGTGGGCCGTGAGACAGGTTTCTTTTGCATAACAGAGTTTGCCGCTGGGTAACAGGGACAGGGGAGCGCACATCCTAGCCCTACAGACAGCCTCACATAGAATAGTAAGTTTCCCATTCTTTGAGGCCATCTGAGTCTGCAGTGGTGGTGCATACCTGTAATCTGAGCACTCAGGGGACTGAGAAAGGAGGATCACTGCGAGTTCGAGGCCAGCCTGGGCTACATGAAACCATGTCTCAAAAAAACAAAAAATAAAACTAAAGAACAAACAGGCCTTCTGCCATCCTGCCAGAAGCTTTGGGACAGCCAGGGCGCCTCAGCCAGAGCTGCGAGTGCAGGTGGGCTGGGCATCATGGTGGGCGAGGAGCTGCCTACCTGGGGGGTCCTAGCCAATTCCGGAGGTGGCCCCTGTGGTCGTGTTGGGGTGAGCCAGGCAGCTGTCCTTGCTTCTCACACGGCTGTCCCCCAGGGTGACAGATGAAGTCTTCAACTTCCTGCTGGTGTGGTACTACTGCACCCTGACCATCCGGGAGAGCATCCTCATCAGCAACGGCTCCAGGTAACCGGGAGCCCGGTGTGGGAGGGGGCCGAGGGCGCCACAGGGCATCCTGCCATGGATGGGCAGACCTGCAGGGATGGCAGCCGCAACCTGTGTTCCCTTTCTCCCTGGAACCCTGTGACTGTTCAGACGCAGGAAGGAAATTCTGATGCTGTTGGTGCAGTTTCTCTTATTGATGCCAAGCAAAAGAGACCCTAATCAGACTAATTTAGTGTAACAGGAAATGTATTGTCTTAAAAAAAACTGGTTCATTGGGACCGACTTCAGGTAAGGCGTGATCCAGGCATTCAGAAGATGTCATCAGGGGCTGGGGATTTAGCTCAGTGGTGCTGCCACCTGCCTTGCAAGTGCAAGGTTCCGAGTTCGATCCCTGGTACCAAAATAAAATAAAATTTAAAAAGCCAGGGATTTAGCTCAGTGGTGCCACTGCCTTCCTCGCAAGTGCAAGGTCCTGAGTTCGATCCCTGGTACAACAAAAAACAAAACTATAGAAGATGTCATCAGAAACCAGTTTCTCTCCATCTCACCTCTGCTGCGTGATTTTTTTTTTTTTTTTTTTGGTACTGGGGATCAGGACCTTGCACTTGCAAGGCAGACAGTGGCACCACTGAGTTAAATCCCTGGCTCTCATCTTTATGCCTAGCAAACAAGGCACATTTCTCTTGGCCAAGGATCTCACCAGCTGGGTCCCCTGGGTTGTGTCCAGGTGCTGTGTCTGAACTAGTCGTTGTCGCCAGACAGTGCACGGCTGTGATTGGCCAGGCATAAGCCTCACCTACTCCTTCAGCTGCCATTAGCGGCACAAAAGCTTCTGGAACGGTTCCCCAGGGAACACTGGGGTATTGGTACCAGAAGAGTGGATAGATTCGGGGGACAAGGGAGGCGGGAGGAGAGTGGACAGGTAGCTGAGATGGAGACTCCTGGGCCCTGATCCCAGTGCTGTCCTCGACCAGCTCCGTGACCCTGGGCCGTTTCTGAGCCATTGTGTCACTGTAACTGAATGGATGCAGGTGCCATTCTTGGGTGGCCTGTTTCCCTATCTCTGAAAGGCTCTGAGTTCAAGAAGCCCCACAATTTTCTCCCCATCTCCCTTCCACACTGACTGTGGCCGAGAGGGGTCTTGGGACCCAGTTAAGACCTGGGGATGGGATGGAGCCCAGTGATCCAGTGATACTCAGCATGGAGGAGGGCCTGGCTTCCATCCCCAGCAAGTGGGGAAGAAATAAAAGATGCCTGACTTGTGACCCTGAGGAGAGTAAGGATCAGCCAGGAGTGTGTATTCAGCACTGGGGACTTGGCCCGGCGTGGTGGTGCTCTCCTGTGATCCCAGCACTGTGGGAGGCTGAGGCAGGAGGTTCACAAGTTTGAGCCCAGCCTGGGCAGCTTAGTGAGACCTTGCCTCAAAATTTAAAAATAGGCTGCGGATGTAGCTCAGTGCAAAGGCGCTGGGTTCAACCCCTAGTGTTGAAAAATAAAGTACAAGATCTAACTGAGACTGTCCTTGGCTGAGTCAGGAGGAGGGGAAGTCAAGGGGGGAGGGGTCCCCCCTCCCCAGCCGGTATCTTCCTATAGCTCTGCCCTGTGGGCTTAGGCCTAGTGTCATGTGAAACTGCTGGGACACACTGAAGGAGAAAACCTTACAGATGTCCAACACGCACAGCTTCCCTTCATCTTGGAGCAACATCGTTTGCTTGGGCATGGTTAGGGGAAGCCAGGGCAGTATCTGGGGGACAATGGAGCCAGGGAAGCGGTCAAGGCATCCTCATCACTCTCCCTGTAGCCCTCCTGCCTTGGGCTTTCACCCTTCTGCTAGACTCAGCTCCAGGGCACGCTTCATCTCTAACACTCATTCATACTTAAGCAAGTTACTCTAGGCAGCTTTGTTTTTAAAGTGTTTTCTGCTGTGAGTGCAGCAGTGGTTACAGAAAGGGTCCCTGAGACCGTGGGGGTCAGTAGCGGTGCTAAAGGGAAGGAAGGTGTAGCCCCAGAGCCCAGCCTCGCCTGCCCATCAGTTCAGGAACCACTGCCTCAGGTCTGATGGCAAGCTCTCTGTGGGGTCTTGCGTACCCCACATGCCATTCCTCACTCATTTCTTGACCATTTCCTAAGCGCCAGACACTGAGTTATGCACACCGAGGTAACTCACACTTGCCCCTTAGGAACTTGCACAGAGTTCTCTGAAAAGGCCCTGTTGTGCCCAGTAGGTTCCCGGCAACCCTAAGCTGCCGTTTTTCTGGGCTTGGCTTTCAAGCTGACCCAGGCAGGGGAGCCCAGATGGCAGCTTCTGCTCACAGTCACCTCGGCAGCCTTGGCCCCTGGCGGAGATTCCAGCTTTCCCAGCTCCCTCTCCGAGCACTCCGATCCTGGGGTGGCCAGGGAGAGGCCTTGGGGTTTTTCCTCCAGCTCTGGCCCCTTCCCAGGGAACAGCTAAGACACCATCTCCAGAGAGCAAGCGAGCGAGGAGGCCTGAAGAGGTCCAGACCCAGCCAAGGCCTCCCTCTCTAATGTCGGGCATCCTGGGCCAGCATGGATGCTCAGGGCCAGTACACACCAGACACCATGGGCTGTGACCGATGGCTTGGACCTGAGCTCTGCAGTGAGTGAAGGCCCTTGACTCCACACTGGGGGTGGAGACAGCAGGGCTGAACCACAGGACCTCCCATGCTGCCCTGTTTGGCATGGCCAGGACTCTCTTGTCCCAACCCTAGTTGCACCTGAGACCAGAATTGAGCCAGAAACTGATCCGGAATGAGCTCGGGGGTGGAGACTTCCCATTATGAGATGTTTCCCTCCTGAGATGAGCTCCTTGGCTCAGTAAGCAAGTCAGCGTCCCTTGCAGAGTTTGCAAAGGATGGCAGCTCACCCAATAGGGACAGTATCTGAAGGGGGGACACATAGGGGCCCCTGTAATTGGCATTTTGGGGAGATGAAAAGGCAGCATAATAATCCTCACTTGGCTCCTGCCTGATCAGCAACCCCAGAGCCCGTCCCCTGCCCTGTCCCCAGATCCAGTGGGAATTTGGGGTCGAATTTCTGATTGGCTAGGCTTGGGTCACCTGCTGGCCTGTGGACCAATCACTGTTACAGGATGGTTGCAGAGCCCTGATTGGCTGGCTCTGGGTCATGTGCCCCAATATATTCAGCACCCTGTAGGGTGAGTGTGGAGTGAAGTGGTTCCCAATACGGAGTTGCAGACCAGAGGGACTGGGATGGGCAGCGATTGACAGATGGCAAAACAGCAGGTGTCCACTGCAGTTCTGGGCCAGAATGAGTAACAAATTGACTGACGTTGGTTTTCCAGTGAGCCCGCCTATAGTGCCCCGCTCTCACTGGCTTTCTTAAGGCCCTGCCATTGGGACAGACACATAGGGGGTGGCAGGCAGGGGAGAATCTGTCACAGTAGAAACACATGTGCAAAACCAGCCCAGAGCCCTGGGGTGATGGATGGATGGTGGGGCCTGGGAAGAAGCGATTTCCAGCCCCTGGGATGTCGCTGAGCTGTGTTTATTGGTGGCGTCTGGCTGCTGCTCCATCAGGCTTGTCGCCCTGAGTGTCTGTCTGCCTCAAGCCGCTCCCAGACAGGCAGCATTTCTCAGGGGACCCTTGAGGAGTAGGACAAAGGAGAGGGGGTGGCCCAGATCTCAAGGATCCTGTGTGGCTTCCAGAGCTCAGGGGAGGCTGAGGCCAGACCTCTTGGTTGCCCTTTAAGCTGAGGGTCTGAGGACAGGCCAGCTGCCATTACTCTTAGGGAACTGGAGCCCAGAGTCCTGGCCTCTGCAGGCAGGATGGGGAGACTGGGGCTGGAGAGAGCTGGGGGCAGAGGAAGTACCCAGAGGGATATCTCATCCTGTGTCTTTCATCAGCCACACCTCCTGGACATCATGCATGTCAACATTTACTGAGTGCCTTTTGTTTACTTGGTGTTCCTCTAGGAATGCAAACCCATGTAAAACCTCTTTTGTAACTCCTATGGCATAATTAGGTGTTGCCTGAGCCAGTGATCTATGGCCAGAAGTGTTGCCTGGTGTAAAGAGATGAGGTGGTTTAAGATGCAGTCCCTGTTTTTGTGACATATATGCTCTGGTTGGAAGGTTTTAAAATGGATCCAACCCGCTTACTAGAAAAATGGGAATTAAAACTTCAGTGTTAGGGGCTGGTGATTTAGCTCAGTGGCACCATGCCTGCCTTGAAAGCACAAGGTCCTGAGTTCGATTTCTGGTACCAAACAAACAAACCAAAAACAATTCAGTGTTATACTGAACATGGAATTCATTTGTATAGCACCTGCCTATCATGTCCAGGGCCCAAGGTTTAATACTACCACTAAAGGAACACAAAAACAAGCTGGGCACAGTGCCGGATGCCTGTAATCCTAGCACTCTGGTAGGCTGAGGCAGGAAGATCACAAGTTCCAGTCCAGCCTTGGCAACTTAGTGATTTAGTGATACCTTGTCTCAAAATAAATAACAAAAGGCTGGGGGAGTGTAGCTCAGTGTGAAGGTCTTGGGTACTGGTCCCCTTGTATCACAAAACAAGATGGGCAGAAATTTAAAATGTGATCAACAGTGTTGGTGAGGGTTTAGGGAACCAGGTACTCGTGTACTGGTGATGGGAGTGCAAATTGGGGTGGCAGTTTTGGAGTATAACATGATAAGTCACATACCCTGGTCCAGCCATCCTCCTGGTAGTCCCCATGGAGAAAGTGTCATTGTACTAGGGGACTTCCACAAGATGTTGTGGAAGAGCCACTTAGACCAGGCCAGAACCACAAGTTGGAATATTGCAGGGTATTTAAGAAAGACAAGTGAGGGCCTGGGATTTAGCTCAGTGGTTCCACTGTCTGCCTTCCAAGTACAAGGACCCAAGTTCAATCCCTGCTACCAAAAAAAATGTATTGAAAAAAAAAAGAAAGGTGAGGTGACAGTCTCTTTTTTTTTTTTTTTGGTACCGGGGATCGAACTTGGGACCTTGCACTTTCGAGGCAGGCACCGGAACCACTGAGCTAAATCTCTTTTTTTTTTTTTTGGTGCTGGGGATCAAACTCAAGTCCTTGTGCTTGTGCAGCAGGCGGTGAAACCACTGAGCTAAATCCCCAGGCCTCGAGGTGACAGTCTTTAATCCCAGCACTTGGGAGCCTGAGGCAGGACAGTCATGAGTTCAAGTCTGGCCTGGGTCACATAGTGAAACTGTTTCAAAAAAAACAAACAGTTTCCGGTTCCCCTTCTGTCTCTCTTAGGCAGAAGGTTTCTTTCTTCCAATAAATTTTTCTTACTCTTAAACAAACAAACAAAAAGGAAGAATGACAGATCTGTAGTTGCCAAAGGGCCTGGCAGTTAAGACACAAGAACAGGCTGCAGGATGATTTTAAGTCTTATGTAGCAGTCCCTCACCCAGCAGCAGATTCTTGTATTTCCCTCTTGTGAGAGGCTGAACCTGGAATCTCCTGTTCCTCTCGGCCATGAGAGAGACCTGGAGTGACAAAGGCCCCTATTGTGCCCTTGGGCATCCCCAGTCCCTCTGGGATCACAGGTCCCAGCCCCTACCCTCTTCGGCCGACGCCCATGCCTGGGGCGGGGACCTAACCAGGCTCCCTTCCTGTTGCACTGAGAGGGCCTTGAGCTGAGCGAGCCCTGGTTCTGATACCAGGGTCCCCATAGCTCCTGGAATGGGGAAAGGAAGTCAGGGCTGGGCGAGGACAACAGGAAGGAGCCTGGGGCGCATGCGGTCTGTTGTGCCTGTGCTTGCAGCTCCGTGCAGAAGGGCACAGGTGGTGTGTTTATTCAACACCTTTACGGAACAGCTGCTCCAATCCTCTTGTCACAGATGCACTGGTGAAGAGACCAGATCCCTGCCCTTCTGGGGCTTCCATATGTATGGGACGAGGCCTCCAACAGCAGATGAGGAACATCTATACGTGATCTCAGGCGGGGGTTAGCACCACAAAGGAAGGGAGACAGGGCTGCAACCTGGGGTGGGCTGAAGGGCTGCTTTGGTCCCCATGGTCAGGGATGGTCTTTTGGAGGAGGCGACGAGTGGTCTGAGTCTTCAGTTTGGGCCCAGAGCCAGGCAAGCCAAATTTCTCAGAGCAAAGCTGGATGTGGGGGTGAACGCCTGTAACCCCAGCAAGGGGGAGGCTGAGGTGGGAGGATCGCCTCCAGTTTGAGGCCAGCTTGCATTACATAGTGAGATGCTCTCTCAGCCTCCACCCGTCAAAGTCTTGAAGTGGAGAGGACAGTGAGGACAGGATGAGGCCCTGTTGGGCATCTTAAATAACTGGCATTTCTGCCTCGGTGCTGGAGGCTGGAAGTCCAGCCTCATGGAGTTGGCGGGTGGGCTCGCTCCTTGCTTTCTTCAGCCACCTTGCTGTGCCCCCAGCGGCCTTTGCCTTGTGTGTACATGTCACATCCCTGCTGTCTCTCCCTCCTACAGCGGCGCCAGTCACAGTGGATCAGGGTCCTGCCTTTGTGCCCTCCCTGTAGTTTTGTCTTTAAAGGCTCTGTCTGCAAATGCTCACCTTCTAAGGAACTTGGGGGACTGGTCAGTCCCTAGCAGCCATGGCAAGGTCGAGGAAAGGCCGGGTGCTCTGGCTTCTCAATGCAGGGAGGATGGGGAGGCGGCAGGAGCCTGCTGGGGCTGGGATATGTTCTGAGGGCCGGAGGAGGACTTGCAGGTCGCTGGTGTGGGACCAAGAGGGGAACAGGGATGGCTTGTGTCCGTTTCTTTTTTTTCTGGCACTGGAGATCGAACTCGGGACCTTGCGCTTTTGAGACGGGCGGGGGAACCACTGAGCTAAATCCCGGGCCTTCCAGTCTATTTCTATCCGTCCAAGCTGTTCTCAGCCTGCAAGGCCGGAAGCAGAGACGCGTCTCTCTCCCCGCCTGAGCGCCCGTCCTCTCTTATTTCCCGAGAATTAAAGGCTGGTGGGTGTCGCACCATTACGTCTCCACCTTCCTGTCAGGAGTGATGCTGACCTGGTGAGCTGCCCCCTGGCCCTCAAGGCCCTCGAGCCTCCTGGGGAGCTGGTACAGTACGGGCCCGGGGCGGGGCCGGGTGGGCTGGGGACCTTCTGGGGCCACTTGGGGCAGGAGGGAGGCAGAGCTGTTTCAGCTTCCTGCTGGTGAGGGGTGAGGACGGAGGTGGCTGGGTGGAGGGGCTGGAGGGAGGGACCGAGGCTTCTGAGTGACTCTGAGGCCTGCCCTGGTTCTAGACCTGGACCAGCCCGAGACAAAGAAGGGCCTGAATGGAGTTGGGGAAGAGGAATGTCAGTTTCACAGCTCATCCCGCCCTTCTCTCCTTCCAGGCCTAACGGACTCATTTATCAGAAGTTTCGAGATCAGTTCTTAGCGTTTTCAATTTTCCAGAGTGAGTACCTCAGCCTCACTGTGGGGTGGGAGGACGATTTCCTGGGGCTTTCACCACAGGGTCCCCAGCGGATATGGGTGCCGTTACCCCCGGGGCGGGGGGGACACCTCCTCCTCCAGTCCCAGCAAGGACCAGAGGGACAGGAGCACCCTTTAGGAGCTGCGTCGTTGTGTGGGGATGCTAGCCTTGTCTCCCAGCTTCGAATAAATCCTCAAAACGGGAATAACTCTATTTACACTTGAGAATAGCTCTTATTTGTATGCCATGAACTGGTCCCAGGGTTTGCCTCCTTCCTGTGTGTGTTTGTGTGTGTTTGTGTGTGGTGTAGGGTTTGGATTGGTTTGGGTTTGGGTTGGTGTAGGGCCTTGTGCATTCTAGGCATGCACTCTCCCACTGAGCTGCATCCGAGACACTAAATTTTATTTTTTGTCCTGGAGATGGGCGTCTTGTTATGTTGCCAGGCTGGGGGCTTAAGTCATCCTCCCGCCTCAGCCTCCCGAATATGAGACTATAGTATGCACCACTGCACCTAGGTCTGTCTATATTCCCTTTTCCAAAACCCAGCTTAATTGCCAGTACTCAGGAGGCTGAGGCAGGAGGATTGATTGAGTGCAAGGCCAGCCAGGGCTACATAGTGAAGACCCTGTCTCAAAAAAAAAAAAGGCAGCTTCATTCCTAAATGAGAACCTGCTTGCAAACAAATACATGTTTGGAAAACCAAGAATGAAAGTTGTATATAGGAGTGAAAGTTGATCTTAGGAGTGATCAGTGTTTTGATCTGTCTTTTCAGTTGTTTTTTTTCATAAGTACGCATATACGTACGTATTAAAGCAGTTTATCAGGGCTGGTTTTCTGTCAGTACGTCCTCATTTTTAGCGACTACGGAGTGTCCCATCGCAGGGATCCGCCCCCTGTGCCCTAGCGGTGCACGCAGCTCCGGTCACAGCTAGGCACATCTCGTGTGGGTCCCAGCATCTCCTGAGCACCTGCTGCAAGGCTGGGAAACCCCAGTCCTTCCTTTCTGGCTGGGCCTCAGGCTCTCGAACACCTGGAGCACTCTCAGAGTCCAGATAAGGGAGAGCACGGTTCCAGTTTAGGGAGGGTGGCCGGAGGAGGAGCAGCCCTGGTCAGCTGCGGGCCTTGGGCCTGAGGCGGAAGGCTCCTTGGCCTGACACCGGGCGTGTGCCCCCTGCAGGCTGCGTGCAGTTCCTGCAGTACTACTACCAGCGAGGCTGCCTCTACCGGCTTCGGGCCCTGGGCGAGCGGAACCACCTGGACCTCACGGTCGGTGAGTAGCGACCCGGCCGGGGCCCCACATTGAGGCTTCACCCTGCAGAATTCATAGTGGATTCTGCGTCAGCCCTTGGTGCTGGGCTCCCACTCTTTCCCCTTTACATGTCTGTATTTTGTCCATGGTTTTTATTTTGTTTTGTTTTGTTGGTATTGGGGATTGAACATGGGGCCTTCTGAGTGCTAGGCGAGTGCACCAACACCAAGCTATGTCCTCAGCCCTTTTAATTTTGTAAAAATTATGAGACAGGGTCCTACTAAGTCACTGGTTGCCCAGGCTGACCTGGAATTTGTGATCTTCCTGTCTCAGCCTCCAGCATAGCTGAGATTACAGATGTGTCCCACACGCCAGACTTGTCTGTTTTACAATGTACATAATGTTAACCCGTTGTCAGTCGTGCATATAATATATATCACACGCCTGCATATAAGTGTGCATACACATACAGATGTACATACATTGGGATATATGCCTAACTTTCTCTCATAGAGATACCCAGTTCAGTACCTTAGTCTAAACTTTAGAAGAGGAACTATTTCTAATAAAACTCTGCTACTGTTTGATTCGGTCATTTTCCTCAAATTACTCTGCAAAGTGGGTCTACTTTGGCAAGATGTGATTGAAATGGTGCGTGAAAGTACAAAATCCTGTGCAAATTAAAAGAAATCACTGCTTGGCATGGTGACACATGTAATCTCAGCATTCTGGGAGGCTCAGGCAGGAGGATCACAAGTTTGAGTCCAATCTGGGCCATTTAGCAAGAATCTGTCTCTAAATAAAAGAGTAAAAGGGCCTGGGGTGTAGCTTAGTGCACAGGGCTGGGCTTCAATCATCAGTAATGAAAAAGAGCGAGAGAGCAAGAGGTGGAGGGGCGCATGCCCACACACATAAAACAGCGAAGAAATTAGTGAAAACACAATGGCGAGCGCCAGGGTGTTCTCAGGCTCAGGTTCCTGGCAGTGTGTGGGCACCCAGTGCAGATCGGGGCTCTGCGGGGCCTGTGCTGCTTGCCTAATCCTAGGGAGCCCCTCACTCGGGCCCCTCACTCCTGCTCCTCCCACAGAAGGGTTCCAGTCCTGGATGTGGCGGGGCCTCACCTTCCTCCTGCCATTCCTCTTCTGTGGCCACGTGAGTCCCCCTGGCCTGTGCGTCCCGTCTTCAGGCCGCTCCTGTCCAGCTGTGCTTAGGCCCCCGGCTCTTTTGGTGACTGTTTGTCCCGAGTCCCCCACCTTCTGGGAGCCTGAGTCTTCCCCCTGCTCTGGTCACGCCTGAAACACGCTCAGTCTTCTGGGGGAGAGGCCTGGGAGGGAGCCTGTCTGTCCCCATTCCCCCTGGGTCCAAGGATGCCAAGGACAGCTGCAGGACCTGCCCTTCAGACCTGCTCTGCTGGGGGCTGCAGTTTCATGGAGGTGGCATCTCGGGCAGCTGGGGGTAGGGGGCTGGTCCATCTCCCAGGGTCCCACAGGGCCCCCAAGGGGAGCAGGTGGCGACTGTGCCTGTCCCATCTGTCTCCAGTTCTGGCAGCTCTACAATGCTGTCACATTGTTCGAGCTCTCCACCCACGAGGAATGCAGAGAGTGGCAGGTATGGTGCGTGTGTGCCTGTTTGCCTTCTGTCTGCATGTCTGTGTCTGGCTGTCACTGTGTCAGTGTCTGTCTGCCTGCCGGCCTGCCTGTCTGTGGAAGGCTGGGCCGGTGTGGGGAGAATTCTGTCTTTGGCCACTTCTTTTTCTTGGCCTTGGGCCCGGGCTGCCCCAAGTTCTCTGCCACTGGGCCCTGGGGGTGGTGGGAGGGATTTCGGGCGGCTGGGACCCTTCCAGGTCTGTGAGCCAAGGAGGCTCCACAGGGCCCCCACTCCCCCTTCTGCTGGTGGCTCTGCGGTCCTGGGGCGGTGACCGCCGCACGGGGGCGCTGAGCCAAGCTTCTTGCCGCCCTGCCTGGGCGCCGCGGATCTCCTAGGTGTTCGTGCTGGCGCTCACCTTCCTCGTCCTCTTCCTGGGCAACTTCCTGACTACGCTCAAGGTTGTGCACGCCAAACTCCAGCAGAACAGAAACAAAATGAAGAAGCCGTAGCCTCGGCCGGAAACCTGCCGGAGCTCCAAGCGGGAGCGAGACTGAGAGGCCACGAGCCTCGGACTCACGTGCCCCGGCCCGGCTCGGAGGTCCTGGGCTTCCCGGCGGCCGGGGCAGCGGCATCTCGGGCCAGCACGGTGATGGAGAGCGTCCCGCCCGACACGGAATGTGATGGTGCCTGTCCTGGAAGTATTAGCCCTATTTATGACGTATTTAATACCAGGTCCCCCGCGTCCCCACAGCTGCTCTCGGCAGAGGCCCAGTCCGGGTCGGTCTTCCTGGGGAGGGACCCGAGCCTCAGGGAGCCCCCTTACCCATGCGTGTCCCTTGAGCCCCCGCGGCGGGGTTCGGATGTGCCTCGCGGGGTTGGATTTCTGCTGCCCTGCCGCCTACGGTGTCCCGGTGCAGGGACGGTGGGTGACACCTTCGGCATCCTGTGGCGCCCCCTCCCCTGGGCCACGCTGCCTCCGCTGTGAGCCCCCCGCACGGCCCTCACCTCGGGGCGGGGTTATTTAAGTTCTCAGAGAACCACAGCCTGTCGCTCCCTTGTGCTCTTCCTGCTCCCTGAGTCTCCCGCCTGCTGGCCGAGACGTGAGAGGCGGCCTGGGATGGGAGTTTTAAGGAAGGCTACCACCAGGGGGCGCCCCAGCCTGAGCGTTGAGAGGCTGCCGGTTCCGAGGTCGCTGAAAGTCCCAGTCGACTCGACTCTTGGTTTGCTAGCGCACACCCTTCAGCTCAACTTTCCCCCTAGTTTTAAATTTTGGGTTACTGGGGATCAAACCTAGAGCTTTCATACTGAGCCACATCCCCAGTCCATTTTACTTATTTTGAGACAGGGTCTTGCTAAGTTGCCCAGGCTGGGCTCCAACCAAAATCCTCCAGCCTCAGCCTCAGCCGTGCTGTTAGTACTCAGGGAGGGGCGGCTCCAGCAGGCTCATCCCCTGGGGGCCACCTTGTGAGGCCGGGACAGGGGCCCGTCACCCGCCTGGCATCAGATTCCGTGCCAGGAAGGGTGGGGAAGCCGGCAGACTCCATTGAAGGTTCTGTCTCTTCCAGCCTATGGGGCTCAGCTGCCTTTATTTTCCTACTCTGACCAGACTTCTCAGGGGCGTCCACAGTTGGGATTAGTTTCGCCATCAAAGGCATTTCAAATTCTTTAAATTAGTTACATGGGCCGGGGATTTGCCTCAGTGGTTTCGCTGCCTGCCGCGCAAGCACAAGGATCCGAGTTCAATCCCCAGTACAAAAAAAAAAAAAAAATTAGTTACATTTGAGAAGAGACCCCACTACCACCACAGTGATTTCACATAAAAATCCAAATTTTCACTTTCCCTGGAAAAATGGAGAAGACCTGGCCAGGCACCGTGGTGCGCACCTGTAATCCCAGGACTCTGGGAAGCCGAGGCAGGAGGGTTGCAAGCTTGAACCTAGCGTGAGCAATTTAGTGAGATATTGTCTCAAAATGGAAAAAAGGGGGGGGGCTGGGGTGTAACTCCAGTGCATAGGCCCTGGGTTCAATCCCCAGAGGATTCTGAAGGGGGAGAAAAAAGACAGATACCACAGCATCCCTGCAAGGCCCCTGGCTTCCAGTCCTGCGCCCCACTATGCCCTTCACGCCTGCCCACCGCGCCTGCCTGGGTGTTCACAGGCCCCTGGGTTTCCCCAGGTTCGGGGTAAACAAATCTTTTCTGTGAAAGCCAGATGGTAAATATTTTAGACTTCTTTGTGGACTACGCGGTCTCTATGGCAACTAGTCTGTAGCTATGGAGCAAGTCACCGATGCATGCAGGAGTGGGTGTGGCCACGTGCCAATAAAACTTTATTTACAAAAGTAGGTAGTGGCCAGGTGTGGCCTACAGGCTGTAGTCTGCTGGTTTCTGCTCCACAGATCATTTGGTTCCCTCCCCAGGGGTGGGGCTTCAGAAGTCGTCTTCCCCAGCAGCCTGACTTGGTCTGGCCAGCAGAGGGAGGCTGAGGCAGGAGGTCCTGGAGAGGCACCGGCCAAGCCCGTGGTTTTTTCTTCAGGTCCCGATCCTAGACCTTCGGCAAGGAGATTGGGGGCGGCTCCAGAATGTGGCTGTCAGGACCGCAGCGCTCCGTAAGCCGTCCCGCGTGGGCGGGTCTGCTGGCATCGGTTGTTAGCTCACAGCTAGAAGTGCACATGCGCGGGCGCTTGACTGTGTAAATGGCCTGACCCTGGCTTGAACAGGACACTGTCAGCTCTGTGAGGCGAGACTCTCATCCTGTCCCCAACAGGGCGCTGTCGGGGGTGGAGACCTGGAGCAGGGTCCAACGAGTGGCCCAGGGAACACTCGACGTTTCCAGGTTGTTTTTTGCCCCGAGCACATGTACCCAGCTCTGAACAGACAGTGGCTCTGCTGAGGCCCTCTGTGTGGGATGGAGGAGGAGGGGTTGACTGGTGCCAGCCGCACATCCGGGGCTGCTGCCTGTGTTGTCCCGATAGGCCCTTCCTGAGCTCCCCGGGGGAAGGAGGAAGAGGCAGGAGGATGCAGTCTGCCTATCTCGGGAGCCCAGGGAGGCGGGCACCGGGGAGCAGTGGGCTCGGGTGCCTGTGCGGAGCCAAGCCCACGTTTACCCAGGTACCTGGTGTCTTCCAAGTTCCACGCACGAGTTGGGTGTGCACAGGGGACACATGCGGAGGGCGGGGTCTTGGGGACAAGGGCTGGCCCGTACAGGGACCCTCCCGGCCATCCCGTGAAGCGCGGGCCCACAGGTGAGTCTGAGGACGTCCAGTCCTGGGCGGGTCACGCCCTCAGCCCAGGGCCGCCCGAGTGGTCACAGCAGCACGCAGAGGCGGCGCTGTTTCTGCCGCTGCGCCTTCTTTAGCGCGCTGAGCGCCACCTTGGCGGCCTCCCGGAACACGTCCTCCACGTTCTCGCGGAACTTGGCCGAGCACTCGAGGTAGAGTGCGGCGCGGATCTGCTGGCAGGCGCTCAGGCCCTGCGGGGAGGAGGCGGTGAGGCAGGGCGGGGCTCGGCCCTTCCCGTTCCGTCCTGTGTGGCCCTGTGGGAGACCCGGGAGTCCCCTGCGGCCCCCACCTCTCCTCTCCAGGGAGATGAGCCGGAAGGTCTCGAGACACAGAGGATCTCTGCGCCCCTCTCCTCGGACAGCACCAATGATTAGGCCATGAGTCGCTACTTAAAAATATTTTTTGAGACAGGGTCTTGTTACAGTAGTTCAGGCTGGCCTTGAACTCAGTGTAGCCCAGACTTGCCTTCAACTTCCAGTGATCCTCCTGCCTCAGTCTCCCAAGTGCTAGGATTACAGGCGTGTGCTAGCATGCCCTGCTAAAATTTTTAAAAACCATATTTACGTTTATTCCTTTTATGAGTCTCCTTATTAATCCACCTTTGTGTTTTCTTTTCTTCTATGTATTTCCCATGCCTCACCCACAAAGTTGTAGGGTTTGGACTTGCCTTTGACTCTCCAGGGTAAGGGACACTTATTTTCTTCATTTTTTTTGCAGTGGTAGGGATTGAACCCAGGGTCTTCACAATGAACTACATCCCCAGCCCCTTTTATTTTTTGAGACGGGGTCTTGCCAATTCTAAGCTACCCAGGCTGGGCTCAAAATTGCATCCTCCTCCCTCAGCCTCGCAGAGTGCTGCAGTTATAGGTGCACCACCACACCCAGTTGAACACCTATTTAAAAACAAGGGCCTGGAGGGCCGGGGATTTACCTCAGTGGCACCGTGCCTGCCTCGAAAGCACAAGGTTGTGAGTTTGATCCCTGGTAGGAAAAACAAACTAAATAAATAAGAACAAGGGCCTGGCCTGTTGTTCCCTCAAGGTAGACAGGACCGGAAGAAGGCTAAGTGGGACCAGCTTTTGGCTGCACTTCTGGTCAGCTATGTGCCCCTGGGCAAGGTACTTAACCCTTCTGGGCCTGAGTTTTTCTAGCTCATCCCTCAGAGGCATGAGGATAAGATGAGGTAAGTACTGTATTCAGTGCTCAGATCCTTGGGCTGTCTCTATTTTAAAATTACTCTTCCGATCTTGGTTGCTTAGCCAGGTGTGGTGGTGCCCGCCTGTAATTCCAGCACTCGGGAGACTGAGGCAAGAGGATCTCAGTGAGTTCAATGCTAGCCTGAACTACATAGTGAGACCCTGTCTCAAAACAACAACAACAACAAAAGAATCCTGCTTGCATCACCCCTGGCAAAGACACTAAGGCAGCCCTAGTGCAGAGGCCAGAGGTCTGGGAGGCCCTCTGGCCATGGCCCCGACTCGGGGGATCATGACCCCTGAGAGCTGGGTGCAGCCCACCTGATTGTAGGTGATGGGCTCCAGCTGGGCTGCCCGAAGCTTCCGCAGCTGCTCCTTGTCCTTCCGAAGGTCGGTCTTGCAGCCAATGAGCACCATGGGGGTCCCACGGCAGAAATGCGTGACCTCTGGGAACCACTGGAGGAGGAGGGGACGTCAGCCAGGAGTGGGATGGCCGGGTCTGGGGGGTGCCCCCCTGCAGGCCGGGCCTCACCTTGATGAGGACGTTGTCATAGCTGATGGGGTTCATGACGTCATAGCATATGAGCACGAGGTGGGTGTTCTGGTAGGAGAGTGGCCGAAGCCGGTCGTAGTCCTCCTGCCCTGTGTCAGAGACAGGTCCCTGTGACCCAGAGCCCCCGATGGCCTGGGGTGGGGCCGCCCACATGCTCCGAGCTGGGCTGATCACCACCAAGTGCTGGGAAAACAGCAAGTTTTTTGTCTTTTGGCACCGGGGGTCTTGGCATGGACCTACATGCCCAGCCCATTTTTATTTTTTAAATTTCATTTATTTATTTATTGGTACCAGGGATCAAACTCAGGACCTTGCACTTGTGAGGCAGGCGTGGTGCCACTGAGCTAAATTCCCAGCCCCTCCATTTTTATTTTTTGAGACAGGGTCTCATTAAGTTATAAAATTATGTAGGCTTCGTTTGAATTTGCAGTCCTCCTGCCTCAGCCTCCCAGAGTGCTGGGATTACAGGCGAGCACCACCACACCGGTGGAGCTGCCAGCAGTTCTGGCCACAATGAGTACCCAGTCCTTGCCTGATGCTCAGGCCAAACGCTTAGACTCTGGAGCCCCTGCCCAGGTATTCTGATCTGGGGGGCTGGGCAGCCATCCAGGAGTAGGAGGGAGGAGTGTGCTACAAATAACAGCGAGCAGCGCCCCCATTCACCCTGGTTAGCTTCTATGGGCTCTGCTACACCTCAGGTTTCCCAGGGAGGGCCTGGCTGAATCGGAACCCAAGACCTGGCTTCCACACTCCTCCGTTCTCTTGCTTTTTTTTTCTTTTCTTTGAGACAGGGTCTAACTATGTAGCCCAGGCTGCCCTTGAAGTCGAGGTGATCCTCCTGCCTCAGCCTCCGGAAGGTGGGGATTACAACTGTGTGCCACTATGCCCAGCAATTTCTCTATTTGTGTGTGTGTGTGTCCGTGTCCCTGGTACTGGGAGTCAAACTTAGGACCTTGTGCTTCCCAGGCAGGCGTGGCACCACTGAACTAAATCCCCAGCCCTTCTCTTGCTTTTTAGAGAAAACTGTAGGTTAACTTTTTATGTTGACAATTTCAAACTTAGAGAAAAATCAAAACCAAGGGTGCAAAAACTTCCGGTAGACAGACTGTTTACACTGCCCCACCTGCTTATCCACATCTCCAGCCCCACACGATCACCGTGCAGGTTCTGAAGCAGCTGAGTGGGGTTTCCTGAGGACATGGTGAGGGGCCTGCACTCGATCCGGCGCCAGGTGTGTTTGGATGTCACCCAGTCACCCATGGTGACCCTTTAGTTTTTCCTAGTCCAGGTGCAGGTGAGGATGCTGCAGTTTAGTCAAAGCACCTGGAATTTTTTGGAAAGTCCCACAGTGGGAACTGAGAGCCTGCAGGTGCGTGGCCGCCCCCATCCCCGCCCCTGCAGAAAGGCCAGGGCTGCCTGGGCCCTGAACAGGGACAGCAAGGCCCCCACCCGCCCTGTCCTTGGCTGCAGTGGTGCTGGATGGCGCCAGCCTGCCTAAGCCCTCTCAGGATAAGTGGCCTCTCCTGGCTCCTGGGTCCACCCTCTCCTTGACCCAGCTCTGCCACAGCACAGTGCTTAAGGCCATGGGGGACTAAGCCAGGTACAGTGACACACAGCACTAGGGAGGCTGAGGCAGGAGGATTGCAAGTTCCAGTCCTATCAGGATAAGTGATTGAGACACTGCCTCGGAATAAAAAAGGGCCAAAGATGTACCTCAGTAGTAGAGCAATTCTGGGTTCCAACCCTAGGCAGAGAAAATTCAGGGGATCCAGGGGCAGAAAACACAGGAGTTCAGATCCCAGCTCTGCTGCTCACCTGCTGTGTGACCTTGCCGTGGGCAGGACACCAGTGGGAGCCTGTGTCCTTCCCAGAAAATGGAAATCTTAGTAAACGCTGCCTCACGGGACTGTCACCAGCCATGGGACCACATTCCAGGGACGGCTGTCCGTGCTGTCCTTCAGCCAGAGCCCCAGGGCTGAATGAAGGGGAGGCCCAGACTCCTGCCTCCTGCCCAGCCTGGGGACCCTGGTGAGCAGTGGGGAGCTGGCCCTGGGTCCGCTCCACACACGTCCCCAACTGTTCCCCTCCTGGCTTCTGTCCACAACTTTCCAGCCACGTGGCTGTTCACACTTAATTATCCTGAACTGGTGACACTGGGAGCCAGGACTCCCCAGGGGGAGTGGCTGTTGTCAGTGCCTCGTCTCAGGGTCCCCGGACAGCACAGCCGCTGCCCAGCACCGTCCTCACCAGGCCCCGGCCTCCTGTGCACTCTCCTTGTCCCCTGCAGCCCTTCTGTGAATCCGGTCTCCAATGCTGCTGGGAGAATCGGGGAGCAGCTCCTGCCTCTCATGCGCCATGCATGGATTCTGTCACTTGTGTGGTCCTGGGACAGTTGCCTGTGGATCCCAGGGGACTCCTGTCCACCCATTCACACAAAGAACGACTGTTCTTTAGCCCAGCATGGTGGTGGCGCTCACCTGTAACCCCAGCACTGGGGAGGCTGGGGGAGGACCATAACAAGTTCTAGCCCAGCCTGGGGAACTTAGCAAGACCCTGTCTCAAAATTTTAAAAAAAGGGGGCGGGGATGTAATGGTGTGAAGGCCCTGGGTTTGGTCCTCAGTTCTACAAAAAAAAAAAAAAAAAAAAAAAGAAGCAGCCGAGGGTGATGGCACACACTTGTAATCCTAGCACTGGGGAGGCTGAGGCAGAAGGATCACCCACCAGTTCGGGGGCAGCTAGGCTACATAGTGAAAACACAGCCTCCACATAGGGGCCACCTAGCCTCCCTGGGTATGTACTTCCGGGCTGGCTTGCTGTTCCTCTTCCAGCAGGCTCGCATGTCTGCAAAAAGGTCACCTCCTCCTGGAGTCCTTTCCTGCCGCCTATGAACAACAGCTCCTTAGCAGCCTGACCCATGAGCCTGGCTCTATTGCGCTTCCAAGCACACACTGCCACCTGATGTCCCTTTTCTGGCTGTTGTTCCTCTCCCTGAGGTCAGGGCCACCTCTGTGCAGCTCCCTGTTGCCTCCTGGAACACAGGAGAGCTCAGAAAATGGCGAGCAGAGTAACAAATGCGCCCGTGGGCGAACGAAGTCCTTGGGCTCCGCTTGTGCTTGTGCTCGGCCCCAGTGCTTGCTCTCCAGGCGCCTGACTTCCTGGCCCCAGAGCCGGCAGCAGCCTGGGGGGTGAGCTGGGCAGGAACCTCCTTCCTGGGAGGAGCCCAAGTGGCTTGGAGACCTCAGTCAAGGTTGCACGGGCACCTGTGACGGGGGCGGCAGCAGCTGGTTCCCAGTGCAAGGTCACTGCCAGCCAGTCCGCTCCCAAAGCACCAGCTCAGCCAGGTGTGGTGGAGGCTGAGGCAGGAGGGTTGCAAATTCAAGCTCAGCCTGAGTAATTCAGTGACTCAGCAAGACCGTCTCTCAAAATAAAAAAATGGGCTGGGGATGTAGCTCAAGGTGAAGGCCCCGCATTCAGTCCTCAGTACCGTAAAAACAAATAAGAAAAAACAAAAAAACAAACCAGTTCAAGTTCTCCCAAGAAGCCTTCCCCATAGGAATCAACCCCTGGCCCACAGTCTCCTCAGTGGTAAAGGGATGTGAAAAGCAAGTGAGCCTTGATGGTTAGCCAGGCGCTTATAATCCAGCACTTGGGAGGCTGAGACAGGAGGATACAAGTTCAAGGCCAGCCTGGGTAATTCAGTGAGAGCCTATCTCCAAATAAAACAGAAAGCAGGGCTGGGGCTGAGCTCAGTTGCAGAGCTCTTGCCTAATGTGTGTGAGGCCCTAGATTCCATCTGCAGCACCGATAGCTGCCACCAGCGAATAAAGATGGTGAACGCCACAGTACTCCTCTGAGGCCACCCTGCTCACAAGCACACAGACCTGCAGTGAGTCACCCAAGCCGCACAGCTGAAGGGCAGGGCTGTCCAGGTGCCTTGCTCCTGGTGCACCCAGAAAGAACTGGGGAGCAATACTCAGCCTATCTGCCCAGCCCTAGGCCTGTCTTCTCTGGGTTGCCTTCCTGGCCTAACTCTGTCCACCTCAGCTGTCCCTAGGCCCTACGGGTGCTGCTGTCCCCACACCTCCCTGGTAGGGCTTGAGTGTCCTGGATACCCTGTCCCACCCAGGTCAGGAGTGCCTGCGCCATTCACACCCGTATCTCGGGACCCTGGCACCTTCCTCCCCGGGGTCTTTGTTTCTTTTTCTGAGAAAGGAACTGCCAGACCCTGCCCTGAGCTGGTTAGTAAAGGGCCTGCAGACCACAGCTGGATGTGGTAGGGCACACCTGTGATCCTGCCACTGAGGAGGCTGAGGCAGGAGGATCCCTTCAAGTTTGAGGTCAGCCTGGGCTGCAAACTGAGACCCTGTCTCAAAAGGACCTAACCAATCTGTAAATAAAAGCCAGGTGCTCCATACAGAGGATGCGCATGTCTCTGGGGGAGGTGCAGCCGCCCCTCTTCCTGTGGTTGATGGGGCCATGGTGGGCGGAAGTGCAGCTTATCCCACCTGGGTATTTCCTTTGTGCCCTTGCCTCAGCTGCCCTGTCGGGGGCAGAGGTCCCCAAGGCCCAGAGCTGAGCTGAGGAGTGCAGGGTGTCACCAGGCCGAAGTGGTTTCCAGCCCAGGCCGGGGCGCGGTGCGGCAGAGTGACAAGGGAAGCAGCAGAAGAGGAACCCACTTTTACCAGCTGCGGGGCCCACCCACCTGCGCTTCCTCCTGAGACAGGAGGTGCCGGGAGCCTTGCCCTGAGCCCAGAGACCATGATGGGACCCTGGCCTCACCTCACCCCTCACTCCTCCACCTTTCTGGTTCCTTGTTTGAGCTGCTCCTTCACCCCCCTTTTCCGCCTGTCATCAGGCTGGGAGGGGACCCAGTGCTCCCACAAGGCCCCAGGCCCAGGCTAGGTCTGCGGGTGTCTGAAGCCCTCGCCCCAGCCTGGGCCTCACCACAGCTTCCGGCCTCTGAGGACCTGACAGGGCGAAGGCGAGGCTGTGGCATGATGGGTGCTTGGGCCCGGCTCCCTCCGCTTCTGCGCTGAGCCCACGGCAGGCACTGTGGTGTCTGCAACGGCTTCCGCAGGAAGGTGACCACGACGTGCAGACTGCCCTTGGTGACAAGGGCCTGGGGCTGGTCAGGGCTGTCCTGAACCTCCACGGTCCCATAGCTTGACTCACTGCTGACGGCCTAGGCCATCCTGTGCTAGAACCTTCTACGCCCCCGGCTGGCTCCTCTCTGGCCTGGCTCTTGCCCTCATTGCCCTGGCCTCTGCCTCTCTCTTAAGAGGGTCACCTGGCCCTCCTCCCACCCTGATGTGTCACTCACTCATCCCACAGTCGCTTCTAGCTGCACTCTCTGACACGCACCGGGGCGACCCAGTAACCACCCCAAGTCGCCTGCTGATGGGGTTTCCTAGGTCTAGGGCGTCCCCAGTCACCATCTTGATTGGGAAGCTACTCAATACCGGGCTCACAGGAACTGTGTAGGGTGGCCTCGAGAGGATCCCTGCTGGGAAACTGGTGCCCCTTGAAGCTGGGCTGAGGGCCAGCACAGAGCCCTGAGTGTCCTGAGTGACAGAAGCACTTAAAAGCATCACAAGTGTGCACCCCTGTAAGCCCCGCACTCAGGAGCTGAGGCAGGCGGGTCAAGGGCAACCTGAACTACATGGCCAGATGCTGTCTCAAAAACACCCTAAGCCAATAAATAAATAAACAAACAAACAAACAGTGAGTCACAAAGAGCACTGGTCATAGCCCAGTGGTAGAGTGCTTGTCTAGCATATGTTTGGGCCCACGTCAGATCCCTAGCGCCATAAAAGCAAAGGAAAACAAAAAATCACTACGACACCTCCGAGGCCCCTGGAGAGCCAGTCCTGTCTCAAGTGCTGTAATCTGATTTAATCCTCATGACGATTTTAGGCCTGATGAGAACACTGAGGCCTGGGTGTCCCCAGTGATACCTCCGGCCTGTTCCCAAACAAGGTGCTCTAAGGAGCTGACAGAGGAGAGGACCTGGGACAGACCCCCAGAGCTGCTGCTTATGAAGGAAGACACTGCCTGGAGGGACAGAGGGATCTGAGGACAGAAGCAGGACAAGGAGAGTGAAAATAAAAGTGTCCCCAAGGACTTTTACTTCCGAGGGGACTGGCCACGCCTCGGGAATTCCTGGGCAGCCCTGGGCTCTCCCTGCTCACCTGGGGCTGCAGGCTGTGCTCTGGGGCAGCCCAGTGGGTCCCCACCCCCAGGGGGATCATGGGAGGCCACTGGAGGGGGGGGGACCCCGACATCGGGCCTGCTCAGGCCAGGACAGCAGTGAGAGCCCCGTTGGGAGCCCAGGGAGAGGAGGTCTGGATTTTGGCCCATCCAGGTGAGTGGAGATTGACTCACACGTGCTGGCTGGGCTGTCTGGGGAAGGGACACCCGGAGTCTTGGTTCCACCCAGGTCACTAAACATTGAGTCACAGAGCCGAGTGAGGCTCCGCTTGGGGATTCTGACCTTTGTTCCCAATGTGGTGATGCCCAGAAGGGAAACCAGGTCCTTCTCCTGTTTCTCCCACCCTTACCACACCGTTCTCATGACTGAAATGATTGCCACACTGGCCTAACTCCGATTGGTGACAAGCTCCAGGTGGATGTAGAACCTTATTTTGGGTGTTTTCCAACTCTCTGTCACTTCCTCCCTTCATTTTCTTTTTTGGTACTGGGGATCAAACTCGGGACCTTGCGCTTGTGAGGCAGGCGGCAGAACCACTGAGCTAAATTCCCAACCCTCGCTTTCTTTTTTACTCTTTTTGTAGCAAGAGCTCACCATGTAGCTATGTAGCCCAGTCTGGCCTTGAACTTGTGGCAATCATCCTGCCTCAGCCTCCCAAGCACTAGGATCACAGGCATGCACTACCAAGCCTGGGTTTCTCCATTTATCTTCTACAGTTGTCTAGTTTCCTTCGAGGAAACCAAGTCTAACTGCAGCTATGGAATTCCACATCCCTGACCTGAAATCCATGGGACTCCAGAAGCCTGGGGCACAGAATCGGCATCCACAGGTGCCCTGCATCTCAGACACAGAACCTAACTGCCAGCCACAGAGCCCTCACCGGGGGACTCAGTCCGCAGCCCACGGGCCTGCAGAGACCACAGCACGGAGCCAGCGGTCCTGGAACCCAGAAGGTGGGGGGGTGCAGGGGCGCAGCCCACGTTTTCTAGAGCCACAGGGGAGGAGCAAGCCAGGGCCTCAGCACACAGCGCAGGGAGGCTGGCCAGGGTCCCCTCCATCCACAGCTGCGGGGCAGGTCCCCGGGCTCCTGGCCTGAAGAGCAGGGGTGGCCGGCGTGGGGACTCACCGGCCGTGTCATAGAGGTTCAGGGTCACCTCCTTGCTGCCCACCGTCACGCTGGCCGAGTACTTCTCAAACACCGAGGGCGCGTAGTGCTGCGGGCAGGGGCTCGGTCGGGCTGCAGCGGCGGGAAGCCGGGGTCCGGCCTCCCCCAGTACGTCACCCTCATCCACCCTCCGGGCCCTGGGATTCTCGCGGGGGCGCCCGGGCACTAGGGCTCAGCCGAAGGGCGACTGGAGGGCCGCCCCTCGCCCACCCAGGACCCAGCCCACCCGCGACCCCCGTCCGACCCCCCGCGCGCCAGCGGCCGCACCTCGGGAAAGGCGCCCTGGCTGAACACCATGAGGAGCGACGTCTTGCCGCAGCCACCGTCCCCCACGATCACTATCTTCAGCTCCTTCCTGCCCGGGCCCGAGGCGGCGGGGGCCGGGGCGGCGGGGGCGTCCATCCCCGGAGCCAGCAGCACTGCGGACCGCGCCGCGCCGAGCCGAGCCGAGCCGAGCCGCGCCGAACCGCGGGCGGAGCCACGCAGGCCCCGCCCCGCGGCACCGCCTCCGCCAGGCAGCCTCCCGGCCCCGCCTCCGCCCGCTCCGAGCTGCGGGGTCCGGGCCCCGGTGCTCACTCCGCACTGCTAGAGAAACTGAGGCGACAGGGATACGGGGTGCTCGGCAGCGAGCGCCCCCCGCCGCTAACGCTGGGCCCCTCAACGGCTGGCTCCGCCCCTGGCTGGGAGGTGCCGCCCTCTAGCGGGGACCCACTGATTTGCCGACTCGCCCGGTAGTTGACACCCGGGTTAGAGCCCAGGTTTCGAGTAGCAAGTGAAGGCTTCAGCTCTGCCCCGTCCTAGTTGTGTGGCTCGGCGCAGATCAGCACCTGGCCTCATTTTCCCCATAGGATGTATCTGCGTGGTACCCGAGAAGATGCAAACTTGTGGGGGCGGTGTCTGCCGCCCACGCCAGGCCTTCTCTCCGTGTTGTGCAGGCCGGCGCTGGGGGACAGGGTTCTGATTCCCTACCCTCCTCCCGCCTCCCCGGGCCGCCGCTCGGGACGTGGCGCCCTCTGCCGGATGATCGAAGCCTGGCCCCAAACCACTAACCACGTGGGTAGCGGCATCCTTGAGTCGGGGCCGGAGGCAGGAATTTAGCGAGACACCATCGGGGAGGGGTAGGGAGATCAGCTGGTCCGCTGGTCCCCTGCACGCGCCCTGGGGGTAATGGTAATCCCACCCCGCCCTGAAATTCCAGGCCTGCGACTTTTATCTTAGGAGCACACCCTCCCCAACAGCTCCTGGTTTCGCTCACTCCATGCAGGGAGTTGCTGAGCTCACTCGTGGTCCTGTCCCCTCCGGTACCCCGGGCTGACTGTCCCCTGCCCAGGTGGTGGCAGAGGGATCCCTGGAGCCTAGGCGCAGCAGGTAGGCACCATGGCATGGGCTGATGAGTGCAGCCTCCTGGCTGGGGTAAGTAAAGCTCATTTCTAATAAAACCCTGCCGGCAGCATGGTGGTGGTTGTCAGGACCCAAGAGCTTCGTGCTCTTGACCCCAAAGACTCCATTTTCAAGGTCTCAGCAAAAGTCAAGCAGATTTCACTTTGTAGAGAAACTGCCAACCTGGCAGTTTTGTAAATGCCAAGTTGTTTTCTCCAGCAGGTGCAAGACGAAGTGTGGCCGCCAGAGAGCAGCAGTGACCGCCCGCGGAAACCCATAGACAACAGCCGATCTGGAAGGAGGCCAGGTTCTTAGGTGGGCACCCTCTCCTGTCGCTGGATGGAGGATCTTCTAGGTCAAGGGCTCCATCGATAAATAAATACACATCCAACTCATCTGTTCCTTTTTTGCAACATGTTTATTGAGAAGCAACTGCGTTCCTGCCTGCCCAGAGCTCGAAGTGTTAGGGGCACCAGTCTGATGGAGATCCGAACAGTGTAGGACCACAGCCCGGCAAAGGGGCACTCAGCGTGGGTTTGGGATTAAGTGAGAACCACTTACCTTTGCAGCTAGCCTCGAGCCCTGCACCCAGGACCTGAAGCTCAGGGAGGGAGGGAGGCTGTCCAACCGGCAAGGGGCCTGGGCAGAACTTCCTGAGAAGGCTCAAGAAGCCTGGTTCACCACAATGGTCTGTGGGTGGGTGCCTGCCTTTCCTCAACATCCTTGGACTGCCAGGTGGCACATGCCTGTAAACCCAGCACTCAGGAGGCTGAGACAGGAGGACTACCATGGAGTTCCAGGCCAACCTGGGGTACATGGTTCAAGGCCAGCCTGAACTACATAGCAAGACTGTCAACTTCAAAGGAAAAAAAGCCCCCAGACCTCAGTCTATTTTGTCCACCTGAGAAATGGGGCTAGGTGCTCTACTATCTGTGACAACAAGCTGCAGAGAACAAGCAAAAGCACAGCCCTGCCTGGGAGCAGGCAGAACAGCTGCAACTGCCCCACCCACCCTGCCTGCCCGGCCAGGAGTCTGGCAGAGTCCCAGTCCCCTCTGGCCTCAGTGTTTGATATGGACCCAGCTCTCATGGTGATGGTGAGGCTGAATCTGTAGCTAAAAATACCCAGGAGCCCAGCCAGCTGCTCAGTGCTTCCTTGGAGGCCTCGTGGCTGGCACAGGAGCCAGACACACCTGCCCTCCCCAGGCTGCTTCCAAGTGGCAAGGTGTCCCGGGACCCTCACCACCCTCTTGCTCACAATGGGGTCCTGGAGACAGCGAGCTGGTTCCTGCCACAAGATCTGCTGGGCCCCAGGAAGGTCGGGGAGATACCAGGTAGCTTTTGTGGGGCGAGCTCATGTGTGATTACCCTGCCACAGGGAGGCCAACGGGGACTCTGAGCCTGGAGAGAAATGGGCAAAGTCCAGCTACCACAAGCCAGGTGGGGGCTGATGACGCCCACTTCCGGGGCGTTGGAAACCATAAATCAATTATTTAACACCCGGCTGGTGAGAGATAAAAACCCCAGGCCCAGGAAGGAGCCTGGACACCCAAGGGCCCGGAGGGAGGAAATGGCGACCAGGCCACTTATCTGCCAAGGTACCTGGCACCTGGCCGCAGGTCTCTGCAAGCCCCAGCGGCCACCAGCACTGGAGGGCAGTGACTTTCCACAGCACAAAGCACTGCCCGCACCCAGCCGCTCGCCACCTGCGGTCACAGGTACTGGGGCTGACGCAGAAGTGGAAGCCAGGAGTTCGGGCAACAAGGCAGGATCCTATCTTTTCAACACTTTGGAACGGCTCACAAGGTTACACCCAGTTCTCTGCTCCAGTCCCGCGGGCAGGGGTTGCTGGGGGGTCACAGGCAGCTGGAGAACGCACAGGGTAGGTGACTCCACAACGTTTGGACGCCTCTCTCCTTGGTCCGAGCAGCGGCAGCCATCTCCACCCCCAGGGTCCTAAATAAAGGTCAGATTCCACGCTCAGGCTCCCACTGGAGATGCCCGGAAGGGGCGGGGACACAGGCGGCTCTTAGTAAGGCCGCGCAGGCCACCCCCCAGGCCAGTCGGCCGCCCTTCCGCCGGCGTGGCCCTCTCTCTGCAGGCCACAGCAGCCCCGCCCCAGGATCGGGGTGGCGGTGTACGCCCCCGCTCGGGGGGCGGAGGAGGAGGAACAGAAGGACAGAGCGCCCCGCCCTACCGGGCTCCAGGACGCCGGGGATGCTGGGGGAGGGGAGGCGACGGTCACGGGGTCGGAAGCAGGTACGAGGCTTCCAGTAGGGCCCGGACGCCTCTCCTTTCCCAAGACCCCGATTCACACCCAGAGCCCAGTGCGGCGCTCAACCGCTCGCTCTGGTCCGTCCCAGGGCCTCGCAGATTTCGCTGGGAGAGGAAGACAAACCAATCTGAGCCGAGAGCGCGCGCGGCGGGAGGTGAAGACCCCTCGGGGCTCCGTCCGGAGCAGCGGAGCCCCAGGCGGTCCGGGGAGTTCGGTGAAGTCAAACCGGGAAGGGGAAGCGGAGGTTCCAGGGCCTCAGTAATAGGACCTGGCTCGCTCTCCTCCCTCCCAGGGCTGGGAGAAGCGGGATGAGCCCTTTCTTTAGCAGAGGACATTGGTCACTGAAGACCCAGCTGAGAGCCAACGACAGCACGCAGGCTACTTCCAACCCCGCAGCTCCGGGGCCGGGGTGCCAGCAGACGGCGGGCCCAGGGCCAGGGGAGCCCAAAATAACCCAGACAGCTTCGGCCGGAAGGTGCCACGAGCCCGGGCTCCGGGTGAAGACACCTGGAGCTTGGGTGCTAGTGGTGGCCTCGCGTGGCTGATCCCAAATCAGGCCTCGGCCTCCAGCGAGACTCTAACAACAGGGAAGGAGGAGGAGCCGAGCAGCCGACTGACAGCCCCTCCCCTGCCCGAGGCCGGGCCACGTGCTGGGGGGTGGGGTGGGCGGGGATCCGGAGACGGGGGGGGGCCTCCCCGCGCTGCCACTCCCCGCACCCGGAGCTCACGAAGGCCCAGTGGTGCGGGCCGCTTGGAGGCTGGCCGGTAATCGCGCTTAATCCTCCCACCACCCTCTCGGCAAGCCTCGCCACGGCCACTCTCCGGCAGAGACACCCGCCCAAGGTCACCGGCGTCCACATTCCAACCCACGGCAGCCTGGCCCAGGTGCCCCTCGGTTGAGCACGCAGGTGCCTGCAACAAAGCCTGCCCGGCTCCCCCAGGCCACAGCTCGGCGGTCATGCTGGTTTGGGGGGGCAGGGCGGCAGCGAGATCGGCGCCACCTGGACCCAAATGGCTCGGTCAAAGTAATCGCAAACTAGGGCTCACGTGGGGACAGGGCGTAGAGATCAAGGGCCACGCCATCTCCAGCTGCGGAGCTTCTTGGACACGAGGAGGGCGCGAATTACGCGAGGTCGGCTTGTGTAAGAACAAGAGCCGCACTGAGCAGGAAGCCACTGCTATGTGCCCAGCGCCTACCTCCCAGCCCAGAGGAGCTCAGAACACAACACGGGACCTTGTTAGAAATCCAAGTTCTCAGGTTCCACCTGCTGAATCGAGAACTCGGGGCCAGGGGCCCTTTGCAAGAGGTGGATTCTGATACCGGCTCGAGACAGACTAGCCACCCCAGCTCCATTTTGTAGATGGGGAAGCCGGGGCTCACGAGACCCAGCAGCTTAAGCAAGGTCACAGCTGGTCAGAGGCAGCTGAGGTTTCACAGGGAAACCAGGCCACATGCGCTTGCTCATTTAGGGAAGCAGGAGGAAACTGGGAATCCCAGGACAGGGAGGACAGTCAAGGAAACCTCTTTGTCCAGGAAAGCTGGCCCAGATCTCTGGTTCTCGTGTTCTTTGCCTCTCTAGCACCCGGACATAAGAGGGTGGTTGCTCTACAGTCACCCTAAAATCCCCCACGGGGGCTGGAAGGCAGGGCAGCAGCACCTGGGCTTCCAGGCAGTGGCCTGTGCCTTTCAGAAGGCACCCAGAGCCAGCCCCCCCCGCCAAAAAACCCCGATACTTGTTAGCCTGGCCTCTAGTAAGCAGCTAAATTCGGCAGAGAATTGCCCGCCCCAAATGCCTGACAACAGAAGCTGGCAGGCGGAGCTGAAGTGCCCCAGCAGGCCGCCCATTTCACACTCAGCCGCCACATCTGTGTGGGGGAGGGGCTGCAGAACCAGCCCGGCAGGTGGGGGACACCCGCCCTCCCCTGGGCTGCAGGCCAGAGCTCCTCAGTCTCCCTCACAGCCAGGCACAGGGCTGTCACCTACCTTTGACGGGAGGATTGTCAAACTAGGCCTGCTCCTGCTGTCCAAGGGAAGGAAGGGTTGTCCACTCCGCGGGTAACCGGTTGTTGCCCCTTCTCCAGCCAAGAACCTGGGGAAAGAATGTGGAAGGCCTGTCAGGGCAGCCCCCAGCTTGTGGGTCAGAGACTGTGACTGTCCAAATGCAAACCTGTCGGTATCCTAGACAGACTCGCCAACGCCACCCCCCTTGCACAGCTGCCAAGGCGGCCCTCAGGGTGGAATGGATTGGGGTGGGGGGGTGAGCCACGAAGAGTTCAGCCCAGGCGAGGAGTGGCGGGAGGCGACTCATCTGCATTTCCAAAGGCCCGCCCCGTCAGCATCCCCTCCCCCAGTAAGGCCGAGATCTGAGGCGCTACCGCAGGGTCGGGGCTGGCTCGGGGATCCCGGAGTGGGGGTGGCTGGCGGGTGGGGGAGGCCCACTCGGCTTTCCTAGGCCCCAACCCCCACCAGCAGCCCCAAGGGCTGGGATGGAGGGGTGTGCCCTGGGCGGCCAAATGGGGCATCTGCGGCCACAGCGAGGCCCTCCAGGCCCCAAGTGGGAACAAAAGGGGACACCCGCCCCTGTGGCTCGGCCCTCCAGGGGCGATCGGAAGGCGGGGCCGGTGGGCAGCGGGGGTGGGGGTGGGGTGGCCTGGGGAGCCCTTGACGATGGCTTCCGCCTGCCAGCGAGGTCCCCGAGTCCAGGACGCCACGGTGACCAGGGTCCCCGCCTCCTCGGCCGCAGGCGGCGCGCGCCGCTCCCGAGGCCCGCGGACCCCGGAGCGGCCGGGGCAACCCCTCCCCGGGTCCCCAACGACACCCAGGAGGAAGGTGGACGAGGCGGGCCGGCGCCGTAGGCGCCGCAGCCCTGCCCAGCTGGCCAGCCCGCCCGCCAGCCAGTCATGGCCCCGGCCCCGGCCCCGGCCCAGCCCGCGGCTCTGAGCTGGAAACCTGAAAATAAAACTCGTGTCGGGGAGGGAGGCGAGGGCGCGGGCGGCGAGGTGCTGCGTCATGGTGCCAACATGGACGCCGGCCTTTGTCCTGCCTCGCCCGGGAAGCACGCGCGCCCCCGAGCCCCGACCAGCCGGCTTCGGGGTGCAAGGTCCCCCACAGCCAGAAGGAGAGGGCGCCCCAAGCCAGGTGGGGAGGCTCCCTCGTCTTTTAGGCACCCCCCTCTCCAAAGTACTTCAGTATCTCCTCCCCTCCAAGGCTCAGGTCTGGGGACAGCCAAGGAATAGCTCCACGCCGCTCGAGGGTCGCTGGGGAGACCCTCTTCTCGCCTTTGGGGCACAAGAGGACAAAAAAGGGGGGGGGGATTTGACGACCCCTCCTCATTCTCCCTCCCCGGCCTTCCCCGGCTGCCAAACACAAAGGTCCAGAAACCATTTCCCCTCAGCGCCCAAACATTGCAGCCCTGGCCTGCTCGGTAAACGTTCCTCCAGGGGGTAAAAACTACTATTTTATTTTATTTTTTTTTACTTACCCGCTCAGCCCGGTGCCATGGAGTCTAGAAGATGAAGCTGGGCGGTGGTTTTGGAGATGTTATAAAATATATATACATATATTTTGGATTGTTTAGTTGGGAAAAATGGGGGTTATGGTGTTGGCTTTTTGTTGTTGTTACCTTTTAGTAAGTTACACTCTTATGGCATTTTTCTGCTCCTTCCACGTCTGCAACCTTTCCAGAGTTGGGTTGGCAAAAAGGCGGCTTCGCTGAGGACTGTTTACTGCTCTGGATATAGCAATGGTGTGACCGTCATTAAGAGACAAAAGGCGAAAACACACAGTCAAATCAAACAAAAGGCAAAAGGCGCACCAGCCATCCCAACCACCATAGAAAATACGACCGAGTTATCGTTGGTGTTTGGCTTGAACCAGCTAGGACTTGTTTTCCAGCTTTAATCTAGTTTCCTGTGACGGTTTTCGTCTTTCTACACAAAGAGAAGGTCTTCCTTTTTCTAACCATCCCCCCTCCACCACCACCAAGACGAGAAAAACAGAGCTGTTTTTCTTCAAATAGATCGATTTTCAAAGAGTGTAAACGTTACTGGGAAGGCTGACTAGCATTTATTGCTATAAACATTTTCAAAAGCTTGAAGCTAAAACCTTAAGCTTTATATAAGCAAAATCGTCTAAAAAGCATTTTCACTGGCTCATATTAGACAAGAGACAAAGACAGACATGCAGATGAAGGTTCAGAAAATTAAGGACAGCTCAGCCAACATTAACAAGAAAACTGCACTGCATAAGGACAGAATGGATTGGGTACTTACAATGTAAAAGGTTTTTAGAAACTTAAGAGTAACGACTGCTCACACATTTTTTTGTTGCTGCCATTTCGCTAGTCCTAAAACTATACATTTAAAACATTACCTTGTTAAAAAGAGAGGAGTTATTAAGATGGCCAGGTTTAAGTGTTTAATAGAGGAAACTATATTTAAAAATTTATTGTTCAGTCAAGAGAATACAGATTAAGACAGCGCCAAGCTCCCCCCACCCACCCAAGAAAAAAAAGAGGAAAAAAATTAAATGTCATTTACTTAGGTTTTTTGGAATTCAAAACTGTTAACTGCTGACATTAATGGTGTGCTATGACCTAGTTATACAAGACAAAGATGGATTCCAAGTCATAAGGAAAAATCCAGATCTTTTTAAAAGGTCTTCTTCATTCTTCCAATTTTGAGTCCTTTAGCCTGTTGACAAATGTTAAACAACACATGCAAGCGTCCTGAACTGGATGGTGGAGTCAAAGGAAAAACATTCCCCACTCGCAACAAAGGAAAAACCCACTTGGCCATTTAATTCCATTGCAGAAAAATGGCTCCCCTCATCTGTTGGCCTCTCCTTGGTGTCTGATGAAGGATGTTTTGAGATCAGCGTCTAATAACTCAAACCCTATAGAAGCCGAGCGCTGATTGGCTGCCGCGCCCTGCCGCTCAGCTCCAGCCAATTACCTACCCACGGCCAAATTACAAACCCCGAAAAGAGCCCCAATATGAAATACACCGCCACGAAGCCCCAGTCAGGCGGCTCCTTCGCCTTGGCCGCCCGAGAAGAGAGGCAGAGGGGGCTGTGAACGCGTCCTCGCCAAGCCCGGGAGCCTCGGAGTTGAACTCACAAGATGGAAGCCGCGCGCTGATTGGCCGCCGCCACTCCCGGACCTTTAATAAAGAAAGGGGAAGGGAAAGAAATGCAAAAAAGGGGGGGACTCTGTCGCTGGTGGCTGGAGGAAAGAGGTGGGGTGGTGGTGGAGAAGAGAAGCATGTGTTCAGGACAATTACAGGGCTGTTCCTCTTCAAAAATAAAAACAGAAAGAAAGAAAAAGCTTCCATCACCCAGTTCCAGGCGAGGGCTGCAACCTTCCCAGGCATGCGAATGCTAATACGGTTCAAATCCTGTTTTCCCCTCCCCAGCTCGGCGCCGGGGGGAGGGGGTCGCCGGCCGGAGAGGAAGCCAGAGAGCAGAAACCTCGATTGCAACTCCTCCTGGGTCGACGTCTGTCCACCCCCCCATCGCGGGTCCCAGCGTCCAAACACACATAATCGCCCCCCTAGAAGCCCAGCCCTCTCCCTCGAGTCCCGCGCGCCCACCTCCGGGCTCAGCAGTTTGCAAACACTTGGGGAGACCCGGGGCGCACGCCGAGGCGGCCGCCGCTCGAGGGG